CAGTAGTTATTTCGTTCATTTAAACTATGTTTGATTACAAAAGTTGCCAAATGGCAACAGCTCGCTCAATTATTGGACATAGAACTCGAACTAAGAATTTTCGCTTTGTTGATTAGTTAGAGAAAAAAATATGTATTTAGTAAAAATCATTATTATATAGTTAGCTTCTGCGCTGACGTAACCGCATGCGTACTTGATGACTATTCTCTATGATCAAACGTTGCTACTTAATTATAATACCGAACCAATTCACTCTACCGCTGTTACGAAAGTCACTTCGTGGTATTCATTTTCAATTGCAAAATTCTATTTCATACGACGCTTCGACTCCGAAAACGGATTCAGTACAAAAGCAAGCATACAAAGGATCCGAAAACAAGGCCTGCGGCAGAGCGGAGCAGCGAACACACAATGATAAATGCTATCGTTGATTATATATTTCGCACAGCAGCTTAATTATCCGGCAATTGATCTACGTTACTTAAGCGTTCGAGTATGGGGAAAAAGGTCTAAGGAAACTTTTCATAAGGTTTGCGGATGCAACTATAGCCAGCAAACACCTAGATCGGAACTAAAAAATCCTGATCTAAACGTTTTTCTAATGTTTTGGTCTTTGAATTGTAGATCAATTCACAAAGTACATGATTTTCTTGACATTTGTGTATGAGGCACTACAAGTTACTTGTCACAATAACAATGACAGTGAGATGTTACGTCTCCTGCTCTAGGTATAATTGATCTAGTACGTGTTGGAAAGAAAGCTTGCAAGAATGGTATAAGCCAATATAAACAGTTTCAAATCGTGCAGGTTGAAACCGAGTTAAGTATGAATAACTTCATCAATGAGTAGTACAAGTACTAAAATATAGTATAATGTTATAATTATTATTAACACCGAATGAGTGCCGGAGTTTCTCAAGGAAAAGGTGTCTCGGTCGCACAGAATATCCCTCCTCCCCAAAATCGTTCAAATCCATATACATGGACAACAACATACTTTTTCTTATCAAACGAATGCTTAGATAAATCAAAGCATGTGCCTTTGTAAGTAAAGCTTTACTCAATACATGTTTTCAGGCTCGTAATGTGGACTAACCAAAACACGCACCTTTTTTTGCCTTGGTGTCCAGTGTCTGATCGCTCCGTATATTGATATAACACAAAAAGGGTGTGCTAATATTTACTTGGCAACGCCAAAACAGTTAGTTGAGGTGACCTCGAGTTAGGCCGACTGTCCCTTACTAGAGCCTACGTCACACAGCACGGTCACAGGCGCACCACCTCGATCTTCTATGATGAACACTTCTGATGACAATCTGATAAAGAAAAGGGTCACCGACTCTGGCTTCCTCCTTCTTTTTGTGGCCTGCCTGGGAAGGCCAGTCGTCGCAATCTATACCATAGACGCTAGCCCTAGCGAACTACGCCAGAACTTACTCACGCGATATGAGTAAACCTATGAAAACCCCACCATTGCATACATCATTTCGGAGCCATAGCTCGCAAAGAAAGCTTATTTATCTGACTGGCAGTCAAATAAAATTAAACTTACGCGGTTAAAATCATATTCGCTTGATATCTTCGAAAAAGTCAAGCAAAAGCGACTGGCGCAAGCGTGCTAACGTCACCAATCTATTGGCTAAGCAACCGGAACGCTGGCATTAAATTGTGAGAAATATATAATATTTCAGAATATTCGGGCTCTATTTCTCTCTTGTTTCCTCAACGTTACCTGAGCTAATACAACAATTTAATCTAAAAAAAATTAAAGTATGAAAAGAATTGCTTCTTTGGAAAAATATCTCGTATAGCATCGTTATGTTTCTTATCACTGTAATGATATCTAGATCTCACTCTAGAGCGAATGGCTCGGCCGCCCTATTTATCTCAAAGCAAGTGATTTACGAATAATGCATTAAGCGCTATAGTATTTGCGAGACTGAAGCTTTGTTTTGTAGACGGAATGATTCTTAGCGTATTTTTATGCATTGTGCTTGTTCGATAACGAACGCATGTGGAAGTCATGGCTACGAAGGTATTGTAGATTCAGGCGATCACCAATCAGCCGACCAAATCAATCGATCACATGGAACGTACTTAAGATAGCGATAGTTGTTGAAGGGACAACCGAGAAGTACTATGGAAATAAGGGACTTATGATTGCTCTGCAAGTGTTTTGATAAAAGAAGCGCAAAAGGCATTTCTTACCTCATATCGGCAGCGAGATAGAAATATATTTTCTATAAATAGCCTCTTTGCAACAATATTATGCTGAAGTATTAGCTGATCATAGAGCTATAATTTGACTGATCACAAAAGGCCTTTCAAACGGTATACAAGTCTAGTAAGACAAACACTCAGATATTAATTGTAGTAACGTCGGACTGATCTCGGATATTAAGAATATTCATACATTTACTCTCTTAGATAATGAATGGAAAATGAACAAAGCTACATATGACGAATTATCTTCACAATTATTCTACAGTGTACATTCATTTTTGTGAGTTTCGACGGTCGAATTCTGGCATACTATGTGTTATATATATATATATATGCGTAATTGTATGAACATAAGGTATGCCGCTCTTCCCATTTTTGGACCTGTCACATGTCGACACATGTCTGCTTCACGTTCAGAAATCCGTTTTGCTCGAATAGAGCGTGTAGCCCGTCTAAGCAAGCATCGGCATAAATGCGCGCACGCGTATCTACACTCGACAACTTGTGGCCCGACGAAGTGGTCATGCCTTCGTTTTGGCGATGCCCTCTCTCAAAACGCGGCCACCTCGATGCTCGATTAACGCATGCGCAATAATCCAGGCGTGCCTTGGATGTTTACGACGAGCTGAGGCGACTCTTCACAGTAGTGGGGGGTGAGAGTATCGAGGAGAAGGGCAAACGTCACATGCAATTGCATACAAAAAAAAGACACAAAAACAACGGATGACTATGGTTCTAATACTGTGCGTTTATGCATGCGTAGTTGTTGTGCAAACAGATGGTTGTTCGAACAGAGTCTGCAGACCGGTCCCTGGCTGAGGACTATTCGAGGATCCGCACTCCAAACGTTCGTTACTAGACAACGCGAGAGTGTCACTACGGGATTCCCTATAGAATTAATGGCTATGGCGCCGAGTGCGCGACACAGACATGTTGACATGAACGTCACGGAATACGGCAGCATATGGTAGCCATTAGTATGACTACTGCCATCCTTGGATTCATGGATATAAATTTCTCGAATCTTGTTCTGCTCATAAGGTCGAGTTATTTAGGTAAATTCAATGAATGTAAAGAAACTAGACGCTTTCAACTGCAGCTAAAATCCATCGAGGAAAAAGCCATTTTGCGTGACTGATAATAGACTATAGGAAAGCTAACGATATAGTTATCACAATGTGCAACTGTAGAACTGATTCGATACGGGTAAAATTTTAAGGAGGCCACACAATCGTTATCCCCCCCCCCCCCCCCGGTCGTACCCCCTTCTTTTCCGTAATACGCGCAAACAGGCCAAATACCTACAGTGACGTGCTACAAAAACCAATTTTGAATCTGTATTGAAGTATCCTTCAGCAATCATTTAGCACTATGCCCACACTAGATGGCACAATCACTGAGAATGAAAGTGTTCAAGTGTTACTATCATTCTTCATTTCATTCCAATAAAGCACATTTTTTGTTCTTTTTTTTTGTTTAGCAAATTCATATGTGGAGCTATCTTTTGCACGACATATTAGTACTATGAGTGAATTTTTTAATGATAAATTCATGTCTATCTATTGAGATTTGACAAGCGGCATAAGTGGTGAGACTAATGCGCATTTTCAAAGCATCGGTAAGTAATTACTGTATGTATCTAGCGGGATCCGTCTGCTCACTTCGTTGTTTTTGTGTTTTTGCTTCTGTCTAGTCCCTTGCGGAATGCCATTCTGGTTGTTTGTTCTCTTGTTAAACTAGTAAACGATTTATCCTGTCGCGCCGTCACACAGTAAAGAAGCCTCTACTGTGAGCATTTTCGTTGTAGTTAACGGTGGATGAAAGGGAGAGGACATCTGCGTGTTACCAGAAGTGACAAAAGAGCCGAAACCACTTAACTACTTATTACACCTAAGTCACGCTTTGTAAAAGTATCGTCACAAATACCTTCATCTGTTGAGCCAATCTCATCGCCGATATCACTACGACGTTCATCGTCACATTCGACAAAACGACGTCAATGAGCACAGTTGCTATGCAGGCCGTTGGCAATCGATGTTTGACTTCTTCACTAACAATTGGCCGGCTGCGATTACACAGAAAAAACCTCTAGCCTCACAAAGGCTGTGCACTTCTCTGTGTTGATGCCGACACGTATTGAGGGGCCGAATATCTACGTATTTCGGAGAGAGATATAAGATAAAAGCATAAGCCGGGCATGATATAGTTTGAGCGCGCTCAAAGGAAACAGTTGTTATCGACAGGCTACTGTTGTTGTTACCGTTGAACATCTCCGACGAATGGAAGCAACGGTGGAGAAATCAACAGCAATGACCACGTGCAGCCGCTGGTCCTACCTGAAATAGCAGCTACCGGTGGCAGTCACTTGAGAGCAACTCCCGCGAAGAGCAACTGTATTTGATTCCCTATAACAATCGAGGTGGGAATGCCACAAACCAATCGCCCGTAGTGACTAGTGATTTACATAATCTATTATGTCAGCCAATATAGCTTGTGGCATTAGCGGCGGTATCGGATGAACATTTCGATCTTTAGTAGCTTACTATTATTATAGGATTAGAGAGACGTTAACGGTAGTAGAAAGAACGAAGATAGGTCGCCAGTGAATGAATGATTATTGTGGCGATGATGATGAAGGAGGGTGAACTTGCTTTGTACCAATGGGCCATGATGCCGTTTGCTGTCTACTAGAGCTGATTTAATGACAAGTGTGGCACACCACTCACATGAGGCAGGTGTCTACGTAGATAAGGGACTCATAGAATAAAGCTACTTACGAATACAGACGACTGCCAGGGCTCTGACGGCATTGTCGGGTGGCTCGCAATTCGGAAAGATCGGTCGTAAGACATAGAACGAGAATGTGAGCGCCACGATCGCTTGTGAGCACGGTCGCACGATAATGCATTCGACCCAAAGGCGAAGGAACGCCACTAAGGGGCCGAAAGCCTCCATGATGTACGCATAGTCGGCACCAGTTTTTGTGATCATACAGCCTAGTTCAGCGTAGCAATACGCCCCGATCATAGAGAACAGGCCACAGGTCACCCATACCACGATAGAGGCCATCACCGAGCCGGTGTTTTCCAACACGCCTCTGGGACTGACGAAGATCCCGGAACCGATGATCGAACCGACAATCACAGTGATACCGTTGACCAACGTCATTTTCGGCTTCAAACAAATCACGTCGTCGTCCTGATTAGCGTCTTCTTTACCAGTGCCTTCTTTGGCCGGCACTGAGCTGTAATCCCCTTTGTCTTTCTTCGACATCTTGACTATGTCTAACGCGTGTTCCACGCAGAGACCACTAGTGCAAACACGCTATGTCACTTCGAGCTTGCCGCGCTGCTCCTTGAAACTTAAACGTCTAACACGTTGCGCAGTTTGCTCTATCCTAGTTCACCTAATTCGTTAGCAGCAGTAGCTGCAGGATTCCGCGCGAAAAGGACGACTAAAATTGCGGGTGCCGGTGTCGGTAAGTTACGATTACAATTTTCGCAGTTAGGTCCGGTATGATTACCAGTAGGCTATGCCGACAAAGTTGCTTTCCGTTCCGCCGTTCCGATGGATTGAAGCAGTCCCTGCCACAGCTACAGCTAAAAATTAGAGCTACAAGTGCTGTTCTATGACCGTCGCCGTTGCTGTTAGTTGTTTCTTCGGTCGTGGCCTGTTTGGTTGGCTACTACGCGGGGTTTCTCGAGTGCACGTTGTACCGTGCGCGAGAGAGCGGCTAGTCTTACCTGCTCCCACTACCAACACACCTAACAGTGCTGCCGGTGCGGCCGTCACCGTCGCTAGGCAGCCTGCTATTGCAGACGGTTAATGGTCGGTGAATTGCTGATTGGGCGCCGGGAAGCTGTTTCCGGCGCCCTCTCTTTATGGGCGGCGGCGGCGGCGGCGGCGGCGGCGGCGGCGGCGGCGGCGGCAGCTGCTGCTGCTGCTGCATGACAAAGGGGAGAGCGTCTGCCCAGGAGAGGGAATGCTTGTAGAAGGGGAGGGCCTCTTTCGGCACCGCCGGCCAGACGCCAGTGCGAAACACACACGGGCGAGGAACCGGCCAACCGCTTAGTGAAACCTAACACAGGAACTTAGGCATGATGCGAGAGGGAAGGGATGGGGAAGGGGAAGTTAGGCTAGTAAGTAACAGAAAGGGGGGGAAAAGGGATTTCGCTTTCCCTTACCGCTGGGCACGGATTAAATAAAATAAATGTTACTTCGCACCATTTTCATGAAGTTTACACGCTGGGATACAGGAATAAATACAACACTGAGATTTAATCAACTCCTGTGCGAGCAAGTCCGCGTGCGTGCAAGCTGTACAACAAGTAAATAATAGTACGACAAATCGAAGCGAAAAAAAACATCAAGACGTCAGAACATTTTTTAGCATGGTAAACAAAAACGATTATAAAACAAAATACCGAAGTGCAGTATCCTCCATAACTATTCCATAAAATACAGTTTCCGCCTAGGCAGACTTGTTCCCAAGACACTATATCGTATAATGGCTACCTAAATGAGTAGTATGGGGGAGAGAATATACGTACAGCAGGTAGGCCTTAGCAACAGGGAGAACACTTTCTATCATGAAGTGCGTTGACAGCGAAGTAGCGATCGTCAGAGACGAAAGTATGTATCACGACACCATCTGAAGGATCTATAATTGGAGTAATACCGGACGTCAAATTCAAAATATGTATTTTGGTAGTACAAAATCTTCATTGCCATGACGACGCCTTTGAACAGCTTTCGATGGATCTTCCATTAATCCCATTACACAATGGTCCGATAGAGTGTGCGACCAAGGCCGGACAACGTCAGATTGTGCAAATAGGCCGAAACGGCTCTTACAATCCGAGAGGTTATATGCGTTATGTGCACATACAGACGTAGGTAGACAGAAAGTGGGTCATGAAACATGTTGTAACATTGTCATGCCATTACCTACAGAAAAATCACATGACAAATTCAGTCTATATGATGGTGATGATGACGATGTCGCGAGAACAGCTTGCGGTCTGCTACATGGAAAAGCTTGGCTAGTATTACCACAAGGGCTGTTGACGACATTAGCAGCAATAATTGTTCCGCTATTTTTTTAGAACGTTTTTGATAAATAATGGTCTTTTCAGTGATATAGTTACTTTCCGTGCGGGGAAACAACAAAGCTGACTCGCAAACAGAAGCGACTGCAAAGAAAGCAGAGGACAGGTGAGCAACCACCTGTTGCACCCAACGCTGTTGTTTATTGCAAAAGAAAACCTTGCTGCTACAGCTGCGGATGACCATTATGAAAAAGGGAGCTCTTCAAATGCTGTTGAGGGGATTTAACCCAGCGCAAATTAAATAGTACCTCCTATTTTTGTACTGCTGCCAGTGTGTAAAATACAGTAATGAACTCAATGCACTAGAACCTAATCAAAGGTATATCTCAGCGCCAAGGTTAGGTATCATCTGAGTGCCTTCATAAACGGCTCCTGAGATTAGGAATCAGGAGGACAGGGTCAAAGGGATCAACATTTCTCAACGGTGCCGCTGAAAAAAGGCTGACTTTGTTTGGAAATAACTTTATGTGGTGCTCCAAAATAGGAGCTAACAATCTATTAGTTGTCGAGAAATAATCAATTAAATATATCTATATCCCTAACCCAACTAGCCCTACCAGAAGGGCTGTATGGGTCACTAGTGATCCTAGACCAAGAAATAAATGAACACTTAAAACGCTCAGATTTTTAGTTTATATTGTCTTGTTATTGCAGTGAAGAGGAGATAAATCTTCATACATAAATGAGTACCACGTTTACGTGAATACCGTAAATTTATTTCGCCGGAGCGTTAGAACGAGCGAGTTTATATCGTGCATGTGATCTCTTTTTATGAGAACAACGAATCTTTTATAGATTTTATTATTCGCTAATTGCAATAGGGCAGTAATCGACAACGGAGTTTTCGTGAATAATCTCTATTTTGTTGTAATGGCTCCGTGGTGGTCCGCCATTCCGAGCTGGTTATCAGGCTGTAGTACTAAAGGAAGAAAGTCGTCTTCTAAAAGTATGTTTTCGTTTGCTGCAATAACAGCTACGCCCGAAAACCCTCGTTTTGTTTTGTTTGCCATCGAAGTTGATGGTTTGTATACACTTTTTGCCAACACGTCACACACAGTAATTTTTTTTACCGTAAGTAGCAAAAGAGTTTTCTTCCACGAGGCTTAAATTTGTACAGCCCAAAGAATGGTACGTCAGAGTATTGTAGTTTATTTGAGAAGCGTAGAGGAAGTGTTCTAAAAAACCAATTTGGTCACATAGAAACCTACGTAAACCTCATGGCCATTCATGATTAACAAACATGGCTTTTTCAAGGAACAGAAAATGATCGTGACGAAATGTTTGACATATTGCTCAAGTCCGTTCTTTCGTAATCCATCCAAACGGACATGCAAAACATTGGCTTCAAAAAGGCGCACCCATTAACACACTGTGCTTAAAGTACACTTTCGAGAACACGACGGACCTTTGCCTTCAGTTGTGGAAGTGACGGCGAATTTGTACCGTGGTCTTTTACGGGAGCAACTACAACAGTTTCGTTTGAGGCCGAATAGCTTTTAAGAAGTCACTAGCCATAAAGAAGGATGACTTGTTTCAATTAAGGATATTCGATATTTTATCGATAATTAAGGAATATCGAAAAGATATTAGAAATAAACTTGACCACTTTCGCATTAAGGCTCGTTGTAAATTCAAAGGATACAATTTTAGATTGAGGAAAGTTGATCGTGCTGCGATAAAAAGCACTCGCCTAATTTTTCCCGTACTACGAGGACAATGCGAACTGCTCGGAACGTTTATATTGATTTTGCCTTCAGCCTGGCACAGTCTCGTATGATCTCTGTGCATTGGGCAAGACACATGCAAGCTTCGATGAACTTGCATGTGTCTTGCATGTACCTGCAGCTACAGCTCCCTGCAGAAGCTTGAATTGCTCTTGTGACGCGATCTTGTTCATTCCAAATTCACTAGATGCCGGTGTAGTGGGAAGGCTTTTATCTGCAATGGCTGCAATTACTTTTTTTACCACCTCCGTATTTTTTGTATGAACATTCCACTTTCAGTCTACTACAGGCTTTTCTTCAAAACAAGGCAAAATGTGTGATCTCAGTCAGCAACGAGTACCCGAGTATTTTGTTTGAAGTGATTGATCTACTACATAGCACCTAGCTCTGATCTGCAGGATACAGAATTTCGTCTAAGAGCAAAAAGCATTTCAAAAAAGTAACCCCAGAAGCGTTGGATACGAGCACAAGGCAACAGAGAAAGTGTTGCCACGAAAATAACGACCCAAAAAAAAGAATTAGAAACCTTCCCGTTCCAATAACTCATTTGCTTCTTCAAAGTCCAGTAATTCAACATTCACTAAATATCTGACTCGACTGACTTAAATGAAAATAAGTACATTTATTACGAGAAATTTCTGGACTGGAGTGGCTATATGAGACACAAAAAAGGTTGTCTTCCCAGAAATAGCTATGATTAAGGGCAAAAAACGGATGTTAACTGTTAGGTAGATCAAAGGTTATGCTTTACCTAGCATAAATTTTTGTACGTAAGTTTTTGTAGCGTAAGTTTTGTGCACAGTAACAATGCACGCATTGTTTCTGAAAACCAACTCGATGCCATATACAGTTTCAAGAAGATTTCTTCTTCAGCTTTGACCTTCACCCGGTGTATTGTCAGTTCCCAGGCTGTTCAGCGGACACCGGCAATGTACTACCTGCAGGCAAGCAATTTTACACGAACTAACAACTGCTTCTTGTTCGCACTAACATGAAGTTATCGTTATTAACCATGCCGCATTCATGCATTATTTGCGTGTTCTCCATGCGACTACGCCGTCTACCATGCGGTATGTGATTGGCTTTGTGTCAGCAGTTGACAGTCGTCGTTACAGCCCTTCAACGGGCCTGGCGTCCCGCACCTCCTTCCATCACCGTAGTACGTAACGAGTGCCTTCCTTTCGTAGAATTATTACGGTCCACATCTACTGCTTTCGTACCGTACATATCGGTTTGTTTCCCGTGCAGCGTACATCTGGTTTCCCTATCGGTCAAGCTCCCTATCGACACTACTCTATCACGGCCTAGTTTCCTTCCGCGGCTTGCGTCGGCGACCATGCAAATCACGAGTTCACGCCGTTAGCGGTGCTAACGGTTGCTTTGTGGGATCTTATTCCCAACTAGCCAGCCTCTTGAGGCAATCTAACCAGTAGTTCCTGCGTTTCCAGTCTTACTTTCTGTCCATTATAAAGGAACAGAAATTGCCTAGAAGGGCCTATAGATCTTGTGATTCGGTCGCTGGCACTAATTTATGCAGGATTAGGTCGTTGATCGAAGACAAAATGTCGGTTAAAGGCTAGGGCTTTTGTAGCCTAACTGCAATCGCACCGGCTGCTTTTTATTATTTACATTATAAACCGTAACAATATATATGTGTGTACATAACCAGTCTGAAAAGTTTCCAGCCTAACACAAACACAAATTCCTCTCTACTAATGCTTTTCTATTTCTCCACCGGAATTTCGAGGCCAGAAGATTGGAAGAAATTGCTAAAGGGCAAAAGAAGTCAGACTGGCAAATACCGTGGGTAGTCAGCCAACTTGAAGCCCAATTCGTGATACTGGCGACAACTGAAGCCTAAGTCGGTACGTTGCTTTCGTGAGTAAGCAAACGTAGCATTCAACACACGGTCAACTTTTTCATGCCGGAATATTCAGTTAGCATGGGATAAACACGTTCTTTGGAGGTGTGCGCAAACACTACTATTCCTCCGAGCTCAATTCGACAGTTGCATATCACAGTTTGATGAACTTCTGTGATGTTATCAGTAACCGGTGCAATTTTTGGTCGCGCGATAGGTTCACCTTCAAGCGAGCGGGTGTGATCACGTTTAAATTCAGCTACTTGAAATTTCTCAGAGGCCAAAAGATCCCCATAAACAACGCTCATATGCGTAAATGTATTGCCCTCCAGATGCAAGCATTGGATGACGGGTAGATTTTTAGTTTTTCTTACTTTTACAGGAACTTCAATATGACTGAAGATGAGATATATACATATACACTCTGCAACTGAGACTGCACTCGTATCAGCATACTTTATAGTCCAAAGAAGAATTAAATTTTTTTTTCAAATTTGGAATGAATTTTAACTTCTCCAGCCAGTATGACTTAATTTTTTAACGATGTTGTTCTTTTACGGTTGTTTTCAGGTTGGAAAAAGAATCGCAGAAGACTATGTTCGGCGAATAAAGAGGCTGAGGCATTATTATTTTACGCTAGAAATTTACGGAAAGACAGTAGGACGTGTACAGGTGTATTATCCTGATACAGTTACAGAACAGTTTCGTTAAAATTTTTTTCGTAGTATTTTTTTATTGACGTAGTAAATTTCGCGTTGGAAGTGAAAAACATAGTGAGCAGAATTTTTCGATCAATGCTCAAAGAACAACTGCATTAACTAAGAAAACGTAAACATGGCAGAGTACCTTTTTTGTCCATAGGTTAGTAAACATTGAGATGTATATATACACGCGGACTTTTTACTACAAAGGATAACAGTAGTTACTGTTCTACTTGCAAATCACTAACTTTTCTGTATTGATAACTTTCTAATAAGTTTAGATTAGAATATAATTTATTATAGTGAAAGAAAAACGTTTTGCCAACTTAGTAACCTGACAAGAATTTACGAGAATTTGTGGACCCATATTAAAGCACCAATAGGCAGCAAGGGGCAATATACATCATATAATATATATATATTATATTATATTATGCCACATATTATAATCATTGAATATAATATGTGGCAGAATACACAGGAACACACAGCTCGACTAATCATGGGTGATACCATAATTCGGCTGCGGATAATAATTAGCTCACCATGCAACGCGAAGCACAAGTAGATCCTGCTTGACAAGTCTATTGGCACTTCTACCTTTTTACTTGTCAACACTTTATTTTAGCAGTTTATAATAATAATAATACGATAAGCAGACTTATCTCCAAAATAAGTAAAAAAAAGGGTTATGAAAAATGTAAGCAAAATGTTTGTTTAGGAATAACGTGAATTTCAGCCATACTATAAGTGTCGTCTCTGTAATGCTCTGTAAGGTATAATGAAAAAAAATTCGTAATAGTATCAAGAGTAAAACCTAAGCTGATGTGGACGCTAACCGGAGACCTAGGGAAGCCGTAGATACTGCTAGCGTTGACATGCAAGAAGAGCATAGCTCAAATCATGAGCTTTTAACCGCGAGGATGAGGAGGCCAGAATATGGCGCGTTTGTCTTATCAAGTTGGCAACGCCGACACGGAGGTCCCTGGCTTGGTCTACTATGATTTGATGGCCGTCAAAACGGACGTATGAAAGGTAGTTATCGAAGATACTGTCTGAACGCCTCGCTCGGTGCACTTCTATCGTTACGCATATCTAAGGAAAATATACGTCCTTTTAGGTAATATCAAAAGGGTGACAAAATTTTCCCCTCTTTCGGACTTCATTGCCGTAATTCTGTTACGGAGCTGTGCCAGCTGGTTCCTGGCTATTTGTCGGAGAAGCTGAAGGTTCTTCCGGAAGGCTTACACCTAACATTTTGACCTGTAGTTACACGGTAAAGAAGGGGCCAAAAGTCTATGCAATGCTCAAAAGAACAATTTTCAGGGGGTGCTGATAAATTACGACTAGTGCCTCTGCTTTCCCGCGTATTGGCAGCGCTAGCTGCCGAAACAACAAAGTTAGATTTGTACCGCATTGACTATGTCAAAGCATGTCAAAAGCCTTAGCAATCACAGGTAAGCAGGATGCTGAAAGGAGATTAAAAAGGCATTTACTTTGCTTTTGTAAGGAGTGCGCAGTATCATGCTCGATGTGCTCACCGTTGGCCGAACTCTCACTGTTCTCGAGGCATCGGCCGTTTAGAAACCCTATGCATGATTCCTTGCAGCAGTGTACTTGATGATCTGCCGTATCGATAATGCGAGTTCAGGCAGCAACGAGAACGAGGGACCACACGGACAACCGTGAGTAGCGAGAACATACGTTTCTTAGAGTCCGTCTCGGCTTCATTAACGGCTGATCTCGAGCAAGAAGAGACTCGACCGCGGAATGAGGGCATCAAGCTCGATAGTCGTGGCCGATGTAATGACCAGTTCCCTATATGCTTCTAAAGAACAGGTATCAGTGAATGGCTAGGAAGCCTTAAAATACTAATTTTAACCTGCTAATCATAAAATAGACAATGGAACTCTATATATCGCTAGAGTTCACAGAAAATGCAGCTTTTTATTCGAATCTTAGCAATGAATCAACTTTATATGTATGCACCGTCTTTCCACGACCGTTTATAATCTGTGAACCAACTTACGTACTCTTTGTTTACCAAAAATTTCCAAATTTGATGGTGGAAAACTAGCCCATCCAGATCTGAGTGATTAAGTTGCTAACGGATTTCTTATTCAGGGTCTTGTAATACAGCTTTCAAAATTTTAGCCATGTGCGGCCTGGCATTATTGCGATTAAGGATGATTTCTAATCGTCTATCAAGTCTTTTTGGTAGATACAAGTCTTCTACAGATCATCCTTGACAGTCTACTTTCCCAAACATTTCCCATTTTACGACCCCTCATGTTTAACGAAATGCAAATCTCGGTCCTCTTTGGATGAAGATCTGGCTTAATTGTGGGCTTGCGCGTACCTCTTGCAACTATCCATTCTTTTCGCTGCTTTATATCAACAGTACTACTACAACACTGCTGGCTATCGATGGCAATACAATGCGTGAATGTATCGTTGTGAGAGCATGTTGCTTGGTGCGGGCCCAGATGTTGACGAGGGATGAGAAGCCGTGTTTCTCTTTGATGTTCATTACCTTCATGGGGCATCCAAAATTTATAATTTTTGAGTAAATCTCATAGATTATAAGATATTTGTCAATTGTCATATTATTGCAGTTCATTTTTATGCCCGGTTTGTCGGTCATCTTCTAAAAGTGCCTTCAGCCTGTCCTCATCGACCTCAATGGTCGACCGGAATGCATTCTCCACTTGCAAGATGCAATTTTTGAATGTAGCGGGCACGTTTTGAATAGTCCTTTCATTTATTTATACAACCCTCGTTATACGCGGCACTGATATCCTGGTTCTGTATAACTACTTGAACTGAACAAAAAGTGAAACTTCCATCTTTGAAAACAAAATTCTGTTTGCTACTCGAATAAATTATAGCACATTAGCACAAAAGAACATTTTTAAATTATATGGAAAAGTAAACAAATCGTAATGAGATAAAAGAGAAAGGGAACACTAAAAACAAACCCAAAGAACTTGTGTTCCAATCTAATATAATATACATGGCATATGTAACATCGCCCTAGAACCAACAGAGGAAACGGTATGAGACGTTCGGTAAACAACTGCCATTTGACATACGTTGTAAGAAATCTAGTATTTGGAGGGCAAATAACAGACAACATATTGTGTACTAACGATCATTACGTTGTTTATCGATGCTACTAAATAGGGCTCGGTATTAAAGCCTGTGTTTATTACAGATAGAATAAAAAAAGTAAGACCAATTAGAACAAAAATATCCAGATTGTGTTAAAGGTGCATTGTTTTGAGTGACACCTTTAGCTAATTCGGCGCGAATGTGCGGTATTTATGATGAAATTTTTAGAACGAAAGTTTTAAGGCCACAAAGGTGGTGATCACTCTACTACTCAGTATTATATATCATTAAAGCTGCTCTTGCGGTAGGTATATCACTTGATCTAGTAAACAGCTCAGGACCGCCGATTATATAGATTTATTTGACTGTTTATTGTAGCCTGCTAAGGACGCAATTTTTACATCGATATGTTTCTGTGTGATGTATGAAGAATAAAAAACCTTTTGTCTTTGTACTTCGAAGTCGAAATCATCCAGAATCTTACGTAATTGATTCCGTGCTCTTATACCCGAATTACTGAAGACAAGACCCCTAGGGTTCATCACATCACAGTACAAATCGATCCAGGTTTCGACAGCTATGGTAAGATAGAACGTCATTATTGCAATGCTAGGTTTAATAAGATTTTTAAATGATCTTGGCTCAAACAGTGTTTTAAAATTGATTTTTTACATCTAATTTGTGAATCGCCAGAAAGACTGCCGTGTTTTATATCAGCTCATTAGAAAATTTGCTTCATTTACGAATATCAGCTCATATGTGTAGTGTCTGATTAGCTTTTAGAGCAACAACACGAACTTTATGAAGGAAATAATATGAATACTGACCATCTTTAGAACCTTAGACACATTTGTATTCCTTTGAAAAAGTGCCATTGCAACACCATTGCCTTAATCTAGGTACCTTAAGTCTTGCGATTCAGTTTCAACTGGCAAATTTATGCAGAACGCATTACAATAAACAAATGGTTTTCCAGTCAACTTACTTGTTTACCGTATTTCATTTATGTGAGTAACCTTACTCTTTTGCGATCTAGAATCTTTTTATAGACACATATATGTGCCTTGTGCTGAATGTTGCCACTTGGAACACACTTGTACGTTCATATTAAAAGGAAATAGCTTGAAATGTGGGTAGATTCGTAAATCTAATAAGATGATAAAAATTATAAAAAAATAACTGCAGAAATATTTTTAGTTCAATTAGAAACTATAGATGTATAAAGCTACCCGCGTTTAAGGCTAGTTTCTTCTAATTTGGAAGCATAAGGGTGTTCCAAGTGGCAATATTTAGCACAAGCCACATTCTCGAAGATCTCGTGGGGTCGGCCTTTTCGAGGGCTGGACGAGAAGCAGATTTAATAAACAAGGTTACTGCTCTCAGAACTGGGCTGATAGGAATGGGCTCGTTGAGCGTTAAGTGACGTGCGTGTCACTTGCAGTCTTAAGACAACTGAAACCATATTAAGCAATTTCAAAAGTTGGATGGTTACATGGGGAGAATTTTGAAGTTTTAGATTGGCATCCTTGACCGCATTTTTTTGGCAACGTAGACCGTTGGGTCATCCGGCATCTCTTCGAAGTAGAATTGAAATAATGTAAAACCATGTCAACATGAAGGTCTATATCATACAGTAAAGCAAGGTGAAGCTACATAACGAGCTTTACGCAATATGATCGCCATCACGATCAACTGTAGCCGCGGAATGAGAATGATCATTTAATGACACGTGTTGTACACCTGATGTCGATGCGATGACGCTACATTACTCGTATAGTCTGAAGACGATCACATATTGCTCCCAAGGCAGTCATATACGTAAACTCCAATGTATTGACTATTGTAAAAGCAATTTGTCATCAATCTATTTAAAAAAAAGTTCTAAATCAAGATGGGGCGGGTCTTTGGGATAAAACGTCTACTTACTTGAATCTATGTTATGTTAACAGATGTTAATGATAATAGCCTAATGCTACTTATTATGAAACTAACTCCAAACTTCTGTCTCTAAATCTCAACGTGCCTTCTAATTTCAGTCTGTAATAGTATATAGCTTATTAGCATTTTCAAGAAAAAATTTTACACATTTTATGTGAAACATTGCTTTCGTCTATGGTTATATCATCAGAAAATTTCAAGGGAAAGTACCAGTGCAGTTTATGAGCTTATTACCGTAAGAGAAATAAAATTTCACTAACTTAATTATGGTCAGCTAAGCCTGCCGAAGATGCAACAAGACAGTCGCATAATTTGAGTTATGTTTTGACTTCAAAATACGATTCTCGGCTCACTCAAAAGGAAACTATAAAGCTTTTATAAAAGACAAATAAAAAACGGGTAAAACATTTTATTTTATATTAATGCCTTTTAGTAATGCATATAAATAAACCATTGTCTACATTTTATGAGGCAGTTTTTGAGAACTTGTATGAACTGCGGTTAATGGCTCTCTTGTAAATGTTTTACAATCTGACTTATTAAGGAATCCGGCATAAAACTCCTGCGCTGTCATCTTTCTTCTTCCCTTGACAGTAACGTGCTCCGCCCAAACCCAGCCATCAATACAACGAACTGTGAGAAGACGCCGTTTTTTATGGTAAAAAGCATAACCAGGGGGAACTATACCATTGATAAGAGTGTCACTTGTATAGGCATTCTCGGCGGCTGAGTTAGCTTCTCGAAGTATATCGTTGATACTTGGATCTGGAGGCCGTTGACTAAGAGGCAGCAGGAAAAGACGCAGTTTCCATCTTCCATACCAACACGTTAAAGGCTCGAAATCAGCAACCGCTCGTCGCCGGCAGTCCACCTGTCAACAGCCTGTCTTGTATATTACCATTAGTATAGAACCGTAACTATCATATCGTTTAAACAGTGAATGTTTACAATACGCAGATTTTTACAGAAATATTTGAGGGTCATAAATGACAAAGAAACTGCAATGTTGTTTTGCTTAAAGTTATAGTGAATATGGTTTATCGTTCACATGAACGACAAGGTAAACAGGAAGCTTAAATCTGAAATATCACCTTCACCTGCTGTTTGTCGTTTTGGCGTACCTAAATGATGAAAGAAAGCTGTGATGTAAAGATGCTTCTTACCATCAAGCTTGCACCAGCGACTAGGATAAAAAAATGTTTCAAATTCTGATTTGAGCTCGCTCAAAGGGACTATGCAAAAAGAAAAGCTGGTACAGGTCGAAGCCGGATATCACCCGTTCTGTTTAGCTACCTAGTATAGATCGGATAATATACGAGCTTACATAGCACTAAACGAAAGATTACTTCGCTGTGTCAAGCTTACCTGAGTAATAGTTTGTCGAAAATCGAGAACTCCCATTGAAGGATTAACCTTTGGAGCTTTCGTGACTCCGTCTTCACTTTGCGGACGAGCGTTAGCAAGCAAGCCTTCCACGTCTGACATGAATTCTACGAGCAGGCTGGCACCTCAAAAATATAAACGCGAAACGTTATATGTGTAAACATCATTTCGCTTTCAATGTGTTTTCGCTAAGCAATGATGTAGACGGTTAATATTCTATGTTCGTTGGTGAGAAAAGGATTCTAAATCTACCACATTGTGGTCGCCAAATAATTTCTTCCTCAAAATAATTCCCAGTAACACTTGTTATTTTTCCACTGGCATAACAGCTAAAAATAGGTTTCGTGGAAATGGAAAAATGCATACCCGAGACGTTATAAGTGTTAACAAATTATTTTTTTTAACTCGAAAAACCCGAAACAGAATTTTCATTTGGGTCCGTTTACAGATTAATATTTCCAGGATAAATACAATAGATAAACGAGTTTTTGGGTTTGCTTCGTTGCATTTAAGAAGGCACCGAATAGTCTTACCCACTTGATATAAGCTTATTTGTGAATGTTGTGAAACATTCACTTGGTATGACCTCCAGATTGCACTATGTTTACAAAGTGCCCGGCACCCGAGATGAGCTACAACTCTACAACGTGTAGTGATACCTTTCAAGCAAGACAGATTTTCACCATTAAAAAAATATGATAAGCACTAAATGTATTACAAAAAAAAAAAATTGTTTTACAAACTTCAATTGTTAGATAAGAATAAGGAGCAACTGTTTTGTATGTGTTAGAGACGTGTTTGCGTTTACCTGCTCTAGCAGAAATACGCTCGAGATCGACGTATTCCAAATCTCGAGGACTTTCTTTAAGTAAAGTTTGGTTTATGATAAAGCCCGTATCAAAGCGATTTTGAGCCACTGTAATAAGGGATACGCCAGCCCGTTCATCATTTGCCAGAATTGTGTGCACTAAAGGGGCTGCTCCTCGCCACCGAGGCAGCAAACTCGGATGTACGTTCACCATACCATGTGTACATGCACGAATACAGGCTGCAGGAATAAGTTGCCCAAATGAAACTACCACACCGAGATCGAATTGTCCTTTTGGTACAGTAAAGGGCCAATAATGTATTGTAAGTCCAGCATCTTTCGCCACTTGCTGCACAGGACAGCGCCGTTTCGTAACAACAGCTAGAGGGAGTTTGAGTGACAGAAGAGCACGTAGTGATGCTAACGAAAAGTGATCCGAGCCGTAGAAAAGCAGCCGTAATGTCTTGCGACCGAGCCAAGAGGCCATGCCTTGCCACACGGAGGGAGCTTTATGCCCCAACGTTTTGCTGGAAAAGCAACACAAATACTGTATAGAACTTGAAGGTCCATCGACAGCTTTTGAAGATCATATATATATACATATATATATATCGCTTTTCCTTTTTTGTCTTTATATGCGCCATTTAGATTTCACAAATAAAGTATATGATACTATATAAATGAACACAGAATTTAAAAGCATTGAATTATAACAGTTTTAGTAGCCGGGATATACAGAGGTGAAATGCGCCTCATTTCTGTACAGTGCTGAAGCAGTTTGAAAAAGTTAGGAGATAAGGTACATGACCACTTGTTTAACATATATATACTCAGTTTTTGAAATAATGTATCTGATCTTTTTCGACACAGATTTTGTTAGGTCAATATTGAAGGAATCACATTTGGACCGGTATTCTTAATATGCTTCACTAGATTTATATAAAAAGAAGAAAAACAGGAAAAATCTCTCACCACTATTATTAAATAAGATGTATCGTATCTATAGAATCGTATTAGTCCAAGCTTCCGCAATCATCATGTTAACATGTGTAAGAAACACCATAAATTTTGAAGGTCGCAGAGATTCAACAGGAGTTTCCGTTAACCTGGTTATGGACATCAACAGAAACTTTTTGTTATAATTGATTAAGGTAAAAGTGCATTTAGGATACCTACTGATTAAACTAGTCGAGTCAATTCGGATGATTATAACAAAAACGATTTCTGCAAGAACTCCCGTAAAGTAGGTTCAGTAATTTCGGAGTTATGCGACTATATTGTGAGGCTTGTAGTTCAAGTTCTGTTTACCTGACCGCGTGATGCTTCGACAATTGAACTGAGCCTGTAAGACTGTTTTGTGCACCAAGATTCAAGATAACTCAACCGTACAAATTGCATTTCAAAGAACATAAATGTAGGTTTTATTTTTTTAAAGCAATGCGGTGTACGATGTTGTTGCCCTCAAAATCATCTGTGCGCGAGTTTTGATATGAATGAAAACAGCATTCGGTGCTTTTGATTTAATCGACGGAACTCTATACTTTAGAAATTGCATTATATTTTCACATTACTTTAACCAGCAACCCAACACATCTATGAATAACGTTCAATAGCTTTTTTCATATTAGTCCTAACCTAGAGTATGCAAGCTAGATATGAGCGGCAGAACCACTAACAGTCCAAGATTTGTTTTATCGGAAAATTTAAAATTTGGCGGTCAAAGCTTTGTAAATAGTCGTACTCTCTAAATTTCGGTGTGGTACAAGCGTCGTATCAACATCAATTGGCCACTCTAGAAGCAGCCGCACGTGCGAGGATTTGTCGAGGGGCTTACATATTACGGGATCTAGACAGTTACAAACTGACGAGTGGTCAAGCGGTTTTTTTATTTGCATCGTTGTGAATCGTTGGTCTTGTTGCGTCGTGTAACATCATCACAATGACGAACGGTGTTGAGACTGAGAAGCAGGAAGTGAAGCTAAGCCTCGAGCAACTTCGTGAAAAAATCATCTACCAGGTTGAGGTAGGTTAAAAATGAAACAAAAATATAGAGTCAATATTATTATTATGAATTCAAAAAGTGTAATACAAGAGAATTTCATGCCTTCCCTCGGTGCATGCTTTAGAACCTCGCTCGAGCAGCTGCGCCATGCTATGGCGTACATCGTTGCAATTTGTAGTCGTCGTTTCTGCCGTTTGAATTGAGACATTGCCATCTTGGTGATGAACCGGCGCGAGTTGGAAACGCGTTCTTTTTTCAAGTTATTCTGTCTAAAGATGTAAATGCAAAATTCAAAACGTTGACTTGACAGCTGGAATACCCGGTACGAACTTGGTGAGCGTTTTGGGCAAGCCTGTTTATGGCACAACGAGCCGTATCTAATACGCGCTACATGTCACCACTATTAATGATTTGCTCGATTTTGCTTGCAGTTCTATTTTGGTGACTACAATCTGCCAAAGGACAAATTTCTTCTTCAAAAAATTAAGGAGAACGAGGGATGTAAGTATAAGGCTCTCGTACCTGAGATCACCTCATTATGACAATTTTCTTCGAATAGATAATATTAAATCAACAACATTTGTAATTAAATGCACTGACGATACAGAACCGTTTTCTGTGTTGTTGCAAGGGAAATACAACGAACGTGCGATGTGATTGACCCATGTGAAAAACAAAGTGAAATCATGGTGTCCATTATTCGGCGTGCCAAAGAAGGAACATAATGTTACCTGTTAACATACATATTTGTTCATTTTGCCTACGCATTAGAATGACATTCGTGGTATAGGTCAGTTTGATAAAATCCAGCAATTAGCGTACACTGAAAATTACTGACGCATTTAATTCTTCATTTTTTTTTTTTTACAAATCCCCATTTTTTCGCGGGGATAGGAAGCTTAACATAGATTTAAAAACATCCACGCCTGGTTCACTTTTTGTTTTATAAAACTTAATAAGTTAAAAACAAAAATAATAAACAAAAAGTGAACCAGACGTGGATGTTCTTAAATTTATGCTAAAATAACTTAATAAGTTATTTTAGATGTTCTTAGTATTGATAATTTTTTACGTTCACTTTGAGCTACTTTCGCCGGTGACGCGATGTTCAGTCGTCATTGCAATTATATTTAATAGTCAGAGAACAGATAAGGCCTTGTGTCGGGAGAAAATAAGAAATTTTGAGTTTATTCCTAATGCCCTTCAAATATGTTTAATATTTTAGGGATCGAAATGGACACTCTCCTTACGTTCAACCGCCTAAAGAGCCTCACGACTGATAAGGCTGTGATTAGCGATGCCTTGAAGGCTAGTGATCACGGTATCGTAGAGGTATCTGAAGACAATTTGAAAATTCGTCGCAATCCATCGAAGCCTTTGCCAGAATCGTTTAAACAGGCCTTTGTCGACCGTACCGTATACGTCAAAGGCTTCCCTAAAGATACAACCTTAGATCAACTGATTGATTTCTTCCGGCCGTATGGCTCAGGCTGCGTCAAAATGCGCCGTTTCTCGTTTAATCGTCAATTCAAAGGATCTGTTTTTGTTCTTATGGAAAGCGAAGATGCCGCTAAAAAACTGAGAGATACGAAGGAATTAAAATACCAGGATCAGGAGCTTATACTAATGATGGCTCAGGAGCATGCCGATAAGAAAGCGGCCGAGAAGAAAGATGGGGGCAAAAAACGCAAGAGCGATGAAACAGCGGATGGTAATGATAATGATGAACTCAAGGAAATGGCTCGAGTTGAGGAGATGTATCAAAAGATGGACAAGAAACCTGGGGTCTTTCTTCATCTGACGGGATTCCCTTCAGGCAACGAAGTGACTTTTCAGGATATCAAGACGCTTTTTACTGACGCAGGCTTTAAGGTTGGGTTCGTTGAATTTACCAAAGGCAACGAGGAGGTTAGTGTTAACTAGCTTGGTGGACTGGCGCACTTATTTTGTTTATCTAGTCGAACTGACGTCGAGATAACGTCTCAGTCGAAATCCAAATCTGTTTTAAGCAGCTTTAACACGTACATTTTGTCATACCGCTATTAATATAACATTTATCATTTTTCCATAATATAAATACTTAGCTGGACATGAGACTTTTTGGGTAATAGCTTAAGAGATGGAAAGGAAGCTGCATTTAGGTGCCGCGTTCCAACCAAGCAAGCTGTTATTACATAAGGATTTAATGATAGGTGTATTATGCTACCAAGTTTGTTCCTTTTTTGAAGTCAAATGCGGTTACATTGGTTAATTCAAAGAAAAGGAAAAGCCTGTAGTTACACTTAGCTGGGCTAATTTGATCATATTATGAAGTTGTATTGTAAAAATACATATGTAAAAAATAAAGCATATACGTATATGCTATATAGAATTTGATATTTCATCAAATTTTGGGTCCGAGTGAAGACGCGTCGAATCTGTTTGTCCAACCATGCGCACTATTGAATAAAATATTACTTGCAGGCAATGGTTCGATTTGAGGAAGACAACGGTGCGAAATCAGCAGCTGAGAAGCTAATCAAAAACGGTAACTTGACTATAAAGGAGATTTCGCTAAACGCGAAAGTTCTTGAAGGTGACGAAGAAACGACGCAGTACCGCAAGCAAGCAGAACTTAAAGCTACTCGTTTCCAAAGTAAGTCAATCTACAGTTTAAATAATAGGTTGCTGCTGAGGGTCGTCTTGCTTAGATAGCAAAATCCTATATCAAGTTCGAATCTTCGGCTGCCTCTTTCAAAAAACCTGCGATTTTAACGTTTGAAACAGTTATTTAAGACTAATTTAATAATTCTAATTTAATTTAACGATTCCTGTTTAAGTCTTTAATATGACTTAAACAAGAATCGTGATTATTTGAGATAGAGAATCGAAGGTGGCTAAGGAATAACTTTGTTTTTTATAATTTTTTATGATTTTATCAAAATTAATTTTAGAAGAACCAGGATAATTTCCTGAGAAAAAAGATGAGATATAACAAATATAGAAAAAAAAAACATTACAAAAGAAATTATAAATCCAAGTCGTAATACTGTCTGTTACTCAAGTTTTCGATGTTCCTATACTTCTCGATAATTTTAAAATCAGTTTTCAGTACGTTTTTTTCTGGTTTGTATATACAATTATTCTAAAGCCCGGACTCGAGGTAAATCTCGCAACCTGGATAAAACGTTAACCTGGGCTTAGTACAACAAAGATGAAGCTTTCTAAAGTATGTATACAATTATACGAAATGCATCAAATAATATTAGTTTTTAAATTAGATTTGCTTTTGTTGCAACTGGTCTTCCTACTATTTCGTAGGTGACCGCAACAACAGAAAGCGTGCCGGACAACATCGCCAGCAAGGATATCGAGGAAGCGGTGAGTTGCACGGCCCGCTTAAAACAATTCATCTTTCACCACTATTAAGCACAACACGCATGCAATACACATTGTCCCACCGTTTCGGTGTTTCACCGGATTCCTTGGTTGGTCATATGACCAAATCTTTACAGATTTCTTCACGGTGACTTCTTCTTAGCTTGGCGTGTAAAGTAGTGATTGTTAATTCCGTCTTTGGCTCTATCTGCCTCAACTTTTTCCAAAGTTACAAATCTCGTTGATTTAAAATAATAGAAAACATATATTATCATTTTTGCATGTTTAATGCGGAAATGAGATCTACGATATGCGCGTTGGTGAAGGTGTTGCTTCTTTGTTTTCCTACTCTGGTCATATGGAGCATGCTATCCTAATTCTTATTTGACCAATGTGTCGAAAGTAAGGATGATGAGTGTAAGGGAGATGTGATGAACAACAACATAACCGCGTCAGTAATGTCGCCCCCCATCTGGGGTGAGATTGGTGGCTCGGGGGTCCCCCAGAATTGGTAATAAGAAAAAAGCACGACTAAAGACGGTACTAATTTTATTAATGAAACAATGACAACGGTGCCCGATATCTCGTGCCATCTACTGTCACTCGGTCCTCTGCTTCTCAAAAACTCACCTGCACTCACTACATGTCAATACGACTACGCAACTCACCGCAAAAGTTAACGGTCTGTTGGCTGTACTCCCTTGGTCGTGAACCGTCCCGCGGGCCGGTTCAAACTGTGCTCAGTAATGGATGCTGGTAAGTGGTCATGCGGAACGTGGCCTGAGTGAGAAATGGCAAAAGAGACGGGCGGTGGAGGAGCGGAGTCGTTGAGTGTCGGTAGATGAGCAAATCGAGCCGCTGTGATGTTAAATCGGCATCGAGATTATCGTCGGTTATTGTTGTAGTCGTAGTAACCAATGGGACCACTCTCCGCTGTGTTTGCTTGTTTCGCAGATCTGTTTTACATCTGGTGATTGAGCTGTTCAACAAGCAGAAAGAAAAAGAAAGAACAGTGAGAGAAAGAGACAGTGAGTGAGTGAGGGAGACACACACAGCAACCCAACAACAACAACACCAACAAGATCCGATCTTCGACTCAACCTTTAGGTGTTAAACGCAACCGCGGCGGGAGGGGCGACCGTGACGGACGTCGAAGCATTAATTCGATAGAAACGACAACTGCCAGCAGCGACGAACCTAGCGAGAAACGAGGCAAAACAACTATCGACCCAACTGATACAACCACCACGTTGACTTCAGCAGCTCCTGAAGCTTCTGCTAGCCAAGCTGATAAACCAAGTGACAGCAGCAACGAAGCAGCAATCCCCAACGACGCTCCAGCCGGTGCAGAGTAAACACTTCAGCTACGATGCTAAATCAAAACCATGCCGGACAGAGAAAGTAAATGCTGTATAAACAGAAAGGAAATCGCGACATTGAAGCGGCACTGCTGCACCACGAGACGAACCTGTACGCTTACTTAAGGGCATATATATATATATATATATATATATGCGGTCACTCGAGTATTTTGGGTATGCATACGGATTGCAGTCAAATTGGTTTGAATTTACGTAGTAGGGAACAAATGAGTCAAGGTGGTTTATTAGCTGAAGTAAACAGGTAAACAGTTAGTCCTAGCGTGCGGTAAAAAGATCGTTCCCATCCTGAAGAAGATACGCTGTGCTTGTGTTGTGTGAGTATATCGGTGGGAGCGGCCGGTTAGAAAAACAGCAGAGTTAAAGGGTCTTTGAAAAACGAAATACCCTTGGCAAACCAATAAAACAGGCTAATAGTGGTGGAAGGTTGAAATACGGCAATTTCATTACCTTGTTTTTCATCCCACATTACTTATCTCTGCTACCCTCTGCAAATTTGTTTTCCACTGCGAGAAGAACCACTACTCCGCTCTATTCTCGGCACTAACGATGTTATCATTACTATTATATAATATGGAAGAACTATTATGGTGAGGTTATTTATTTCTGACCCTTGAGGAGTAGGACCAAATTTCACTCATCAACGGCGTTTTTTGCTTGGCCGGCGATCGTACCGGACGACTGTAAATATATATATATATATATATATATATAAAATACCTTATAATAAGCAGTTGTATACGATATGTTATAAAACAAGAGGAGTTTAAGTAAGACTAACACTACGGATATACTGAATGAGGGTAAAAATTACTATGAAGCTCCTGGGGGTAGTAAGATGTACTGAGCACGGGCAAGTAGGGCGAATTATTGAATTTGATTAGGTAAATCAAAATAGTAGTTGAGAACATTCATTGGAAAGGCGGGAAGGGTCTGTTGCAATAGCGATGTAAATTGTGAACAGTTCTGTGGAGTAAAAGTTGAGGGCTGTGTGCTGCAGCAGCGTATGTTGAATTGCTAAAATAAACAGATGAAAAAGACACATTTTGTCTCCTAAAAGCTTGTTTTTTTTGTGACGGTTGTGTATGCGTCTAGAGATGGTCAAATTCTCAAGATGTCTTTATTAAATTTAATAATGTACTTGGTTAGAATGGGATTCTAATTCTTTAGAACTAATTCGTATCTTCTTGTTGACATGGTCTATGTTTAACTCGACAACCACGCTTTCCCATGGTCCTTCAAAGCTGTTATGTCCTGCTGGAGTTTTTTGCTAATTTGCTGATTGTTGTCCTTTCGGTGCATATGACCTTAATATCGCTCAAATTTCGTTATTTGAAACTATGTAAAAGACGCTCGAAAAATAAACTTCTCGTGTTTTACGACGAGCGACCAATAATTTAAACTGGAACAAAGTTCGAATAATTTCAAGACAGAGGACACGCAAAATTGAGTACGGTTATGAAAGATCTGCCCTTTTTCCTGATTGAATGAGCTCATTTCGAATCAGGGATAATTTCCAAACGGGTCACGCTCGTTGTGTAATAATCTTGTATCCATCATAAGCGACTAATTATCTGCGCATCCTCACAGAATCGCAGTGATCTTTTCGATCCATGAAATTCTTGTTAATCAAATTGTAGCTAATAAGCTTACATCAATCTATCTGTCGAACATTGGTTTTGGGCTCAGAAATATATTCGCGGAGTCGCATGTCATCAATTCTCACATAGATATTCAGTATTTTGTATAGACCCCGAGCATTGTTAGAATTCTCTTATATAGATTTTTGGCATGCCGTTTCGACATTGACTTAGATTCGCGATGGGCAATTCCTTTAAGTAGATCTGGTTAGTCACTATGGGTTTATACAACGCTGTTCGATTGCATCACCTTAAAATACCACATGCATGTGCTACTTTACGCGCTTGAATTCAGATATATGTCGAAGGTATGTGAGATATGCAATAAACTTTACCATTACCTTCTCAAGCCCGAAACTATATGGAACGTCCAAAGATGGCTCATCACAGACACTGCTTACATTAAGAAACCCAACTATAAAACCCTTAGATGTGCCTAAATTTATAAAATGTGAAGGTAGCTTTTATGTTCTGGGCTTTGTAAATTTTCAGATAGACGTTTTTGATGACAATATGGATCCTTTGCATCTTGTTAGTAAGTGAGGTAAGTTTTGTGTGGTACCTCTTATGCAAGCATATTTCACGCTGTTCATACCTCATTATAATGGTATTAATATTTAGGAGTTTGTAAAATTTTAACGATATACTGTTACGATACTACTGTTTTCTCATTCTATGTAAAATATTGAACTAGAAAAAGGAAAAAAAAAGTTGTCTTACTGCTAAAATTTTCAAACTTCCAAATAGCAATGAGTGTCGCAAATATTGATAGAGAAGCTTACTGAACTAATTGCGTTATGTGCAGACCAATATAACTTACGTATCTCGTTGCCTTAATGCTGAGTTCGTTAATAAACGAAATAACAAGCAAAACCGCTCCATCAATGATATAATCCGACAAGCCACCGCACATATATCCATAAATTCTTCGGATCATTTAGGGACGTGGCAATGTTAATTTAAAGGTTTGGTTATATCAAAGCGTTTCAGCTTGTCAACTATCACGATTAACTAAAGCGCAACCGATTCTTCACTATTCTAGAAGCCATGTTCACTAGTAATATTGTGAAAATACATAATTTTAAAACTAAGATCAATTGAAATGAACGTGTAAACTTCAAATGCATACGAATGCTAGTAAAAAAATTGGCAATAGTGTGAAGCGCTTTACTTTTTTTTCTCGCTTCCAGTAGAAATTTGGAGTTAATAACAGACATTTCCAGTGAAAAATGTCTGTTATTAGCTTCGAAACGTTAAAAGTAACGTTTTATACTCTGAAATGACTAGACAATTATTGCGTGGAAAATACTTGTACTGTCTTATCTCTAACAGTGACTATGTAAGGCTTCTCACATGCACCTACGTGTATTATACATGGTGCATACTTATATAGGCTGCGTGGCAGCAGTTATAGTGTGGCATGCTAGTGCTCTCTAGTTAAGACACATGAAATTCAAATCCTGTTTCGCCGTTTAGAGAACTCCGAAGACTTTGTTTATACATCCCAAAAAGGTTTTTTTTTTAAAAAACAGCGTATGAAGATATAGTGGAAAGAGCCCACTATACCCTAGCCTAAATTTAAAAAACAAGTATGTTTATTGGTCATTCAAATCCTTTTGCGTGTGTCGTAGTACTATGCAAGAAGCACGCATAGGTATTTTAAATACTCGTTTTATTCACCTTTAATTTGCCACAGTTCCCCGTTCCAATTATATGCGTAATACGAGTTGAAGGGGTGACCATTAGCACATCTCACTTGTAATGACTATTTTAGTTATCTATAATGCTAGGTTATATCTAAAAAGCATCCTGTCTACGACAATTATTTCTGGGGCTCTTCGGAGCCTTCAATTTTCCCGATCGGCACATCCTCTGAGGCGCGAAAATTGGGAAATACTTCCCACGGAGTCTTGAGGTCAAATTTACGAAACTCTTGCGTTAATTCAAGTGGCTCTACAACAACACGTTTTACGTCATCATCATAACGTACCTCTACATACCCACTAAGCGGAAAGTCCTTCCTGCAATAGAACGACATAGACACGGTTAAGATCGACCTTTTATTGGAGCGGCATTTAAACCTAAATATTTACGTTAAAATTACATTCGACCTCTTAGGTTATATACACAGATAACAATAAAAAAGGAGTTTGCGATTTCTCATTTTGAGACAAAGAAATTTGGCTAAAGGGTAATAAGAATAAAGTTATGCATAGAAAACGTACCTCTGGGGGTGACCTTCGAAACCGTAATCAGTAAGAATTCGGCGTAAATCAGGGTGATTCCTGAAAAACACTCCGTACATATCCCAGATTTCTCGTTCGTACCAATTTGCGCCCTTGAAGATGTGGCACGCGGAGTCGATTGGTGTCAGCTCGTCAGTATAAGTCTTCACTCGAACGCGTGAGTTAAAATTAATTGATAGAAGATTATAAACGATTTCGAACCTGGTCATATTCAGAAAAGTAGAGGATAAATTTGTCATTAGTTTAAATGAAAACTACCTTTCCGAAAAGCATGACAAATGTTTTCTTAATAATGGCAACACTTCTTTATTATAATCGAAAGTTATACCTGATGCGAAATCGTCACTGATGTGAAGACATCATAGCTGGCAGACGCTTTATTTGTGTTGATTCTATAGTAAACAGCTGTATACAATACATACATCGACGAAAATGTCTATTTGAACGGATTAGATAATTTGTACCAGACGTGTCAATTCATTTCCATACCATATTGGTGCAATTAATTTCCATACCTATTTTTTCGGTTGGGAATATCCACTCCCGCGATGTCGACCAAGTTTGTGAATTGGGCCAAATGATGGTCCTTTAGGAATGACAACACCGGTAGAACTCCTTCGGGTGCAATCAAGAGCTCCAACTCATCTCCAGCAGTGAGCTGAACCTTTTGCACATACCGTGGAAGACACTCAGCACAATACCGGCCGAAATCCTGTTTGGTCCGTTTAAGAACATAATAGGAAGGGTATAGTAAGTAAAGAAATCTCTCTTTTCCATTAATATCATTATCTCCATGTAACTGTGCGAAAATTAATTGCTAACAAGAACTGTTGATGAAAAGGCTTCATCTGGTTAAATATAATATACACAACTTTGGTACTGCATATGTTATCAATAAAAATACCTACATAAGCCCGCAAGAAGTTTGACCACAACAAAATGAACCTACCGTCAGGCTTTCTCTGATGAGAGCATTTGGCTTACGAATAGTCGGATGGATCTCTTCTTTCGGTGTTTCGACAGTGCTCGTTAGGCGCTTGCAGATTAGTGAACCACTAGCTAATTCGGTCGATGGGTTTAATGAGGTTATGGCGCGGACTGGCCGTGCTGTGAACAGCCCAACTCGGGCCAGACGACCCAACATAATTTCTTATCGTTAGTCAAAACAGTAAGACTTTTACCTTGAACAAAAGTATGCTGCTGATAACACGCTATTGAAGAGGAGGTACAATTGTAGATCCCCTTAAATCGACCTCCTCTAGTAGCTGTCCTAGGATGATGGGTTCGTCCGCTCTATTTGCAAACAAAAAGGAGGCAGATAATAACAAATAATGTCATACGTCACTAGGCACAACAGATTTCGTGTTTCGCGGGCCAATCAGAAATTCAAACAACATCTATCAACGCGGACATTATACGGGACTAAAATCAGCGTTGTTACACTAGTTTGCTCACTCTTCGTTATAGATTGAGGCGTTCTAGAAAAGTCGAGCTCATGAGTAAGTAAAATTCGGAATAAATTGCTTGCACAGTAATACATCGCGTCGCATAGACATAATCATATCATGGCGGCACAGCGATCAATATTCGAGGGAAAGGACTTCTGTTCTTCTTTCGATAGATTTCTGCTCTTGACTGGACGTGAAACTGTCCTTCTTATGATGGAATTATCCTAGTTAATAAAAATCCATAAGAAGAGCTGTACTATTCTGTTATATTATGAAAAATACTATTTTTTCAGTGTCATTTCTAGCTATATTAGCTGTAACCACTGTTAAGTGTCGTTGGGTAAAGGCAACCCAAGCACCGTTGGGATTAAGCTGGAGAGGATGTACCTTGGCTGACACCAAAAATATAGATCTTCTAAGCGTACGACGATATAGAAAAAAGGTATTCATATTACATTTCGTTAAATTTAAGTTATTTGATAAATGACAACGTTTGTAATGAAAGAAGTAATTTGATAGCAAGCAGATCATTGACGCTGTGTACTAATCACCTGGTTTCTTCCTTTGTGAGGAAACCATTAAATTTTGGCTGATTAACTCATTGTCCAGTATCATAGGTGTGTTTTCTCTAGTCTTAAAAATAGATAGGGTATAACATAATTGAGTGGACAGCAAGAAGTTAGAAACATTTCAGAGGGAAACGAAGCCACCATCGTACTTCATAATTGGCTAAGCTATTTTGTGTGCTTCTGATTTGTAGATTTCATGTAGGGCTCAATAAATGTCCCGAACCTGGTAGTATGGTCAGATACCCTAGCATTCTTTTTCATTACAAAGTCTAAAATGAGAACTTTTCATATGCTTTATTTCTTAGACTATGTCTATGGATATTTCTACCTTTACATATAGATATTCATTATGATTATTCATTATCAGTCGCCGCGCTTACGGTTTTCATTCGAAATATAAACTGCTCACTAATCGTTTCCAAATATTTAGTTCTTAATCCTCAAGTAATTCTCTCAAAAAGTGATATCAAAATTAAAAAAAAAAAATAAAAAGTAACTAAAAAAATGATATTAACCTTGGGTCAAGCCATATTGGTAAGTATAAATTCGTTAAACTCTTGCTCACCTAAATTTTAGCCTAATGACAGGCCAAAAACCTAAATCGAGTAGGAATCGAATAGGAAAAAGTGCAAAAGAGGCTAAAAAGTCTAAAAGTCGAACTGGGAAATCCAATAGACAATTGATATTCTTTCTATGAAGCGGTCCTTATTTCCCCTTGAATTTTCGAGAAGCCGAATGATAACGTAGCAATAGCATAGACCGTCCATTTTGGGCAAAAAGGGAGTCTAGAATTTCAGTGGGGTTTGTTTAAGGTGGGAAAATTAGATAATGGCTGATTTTCCGTATATATATATATATATATATATATAGTATAACAACCATGCTGTTGATCATTAAATTAAGAAAAAAAACGCATCGTTCTTGGGAAATTTTATTGTTGCTCTAGCAGATAAGGTTCCCAACATTTGTTCAGCCACTCTTTGGACTTCTGGGCTATGAACGACATTTTGAATCAACATCACCCGTTGGTTTTTTCGGTAAAGTTTATAATTTCGGATTACTTTGCAACATAGTAACCTGCTGACTATTAATGACAATTACGTTACGCGCCGTTGTATTTGAATGTAATTAATGTTAATGATATAGCCACCATCATAAAGTACATCATAAGTTCACATCTATTCTTAAAGGATTCAACCAAAGATATTACTAATCCAGATTGCTATCACCATGTCGAATATTTGCTGAACTGTCTTTTTTACGTATTTTTTTCATCTTATCAACACATAACAGTCTGACATATAAAGTATAGAAAAAGGCGAACTATATTGGTAACACCCGGACAAAGATGCGATTTCGGCTGCTCAGTTCGTCCAGTTGAAGAGTTCGCGTAATAGACTATACTATATATAATTCGGAAACCTGTTCTTTTCCACGATGTGTTTGTTGTTTTGCTTTGGTTTATGCCTGGAACTAAAAAGTAGCAGATGAATGTACGCCCGTTATGATAAACAACCCCTTAGGATTTTCCTTACTTCGAATATACTACCCCATATGCATCAAAAAATAATAAAATTCCTAAGATGCTGACCAAAGACAAATTTCATAACACGTTTTTTCTTGTTTGCAATACTTTTCGATGCCCTACGAACTGCGTGCATGTCGTGCAACTGCATTGACTATGAAATACGTATATTTAAAACATGCTTTTTTTTTACGATGCGCTCTCTCTTAAAGCTGTTTTTTTTGTGTTGCGGCACTAGCAGGGTATATTTAACATGACATGTAAAAGTATTCACGAATGCATCTGTCCTTATTCATCCATTAGTACTATACCTGTAGCTACTATACATGTAAAATAATCGTCAGGGACAATTTCCATAAGCTTAATGAATTCTCTACTAAATGGTTTATCATTAATAAGAAATTAACGACGGTTTGCGATCAGCAAAACTATAGTCAGGTAACCCAGATTACGTCACACGAAGTATTTGAATTAAAAAAGTAATAGATTTATTTGAAGTCTCTAAATTGTACCCAAAATAGAGAAATATACAGTGCGTAAATGATTATATAATCCCTAAAATCTAACGCTTAATTTCAAACCCTAACAGATTTAACTGTATTGTTAAATATATCAATTAAATATACCTTCACGGCCACTCCCATGACACGGACAATGTTCCTTTGTGCTAACAGTTTAAGGGACATCGTATTATCTCACAACAAGTAACGTATATTCAGTAAAATAATTTAGCTATAAATAGACTTTAGAGACTTTGATTATTCAGCTTTAAATTGTATCGGTTATATGTGTTCTTGATTAATAAGAAATACCTTTTTTATTTGCTTTTGGTGAAATCATAAAAATTAAAAATATTACAATACGGCAAATTCGTCTGTCTGTACATATTGCAGGTTCCAATCGTTGCTATATATTATATAGTATTGCTCCTAGTTGTACAAGATCAAAAATTGCACTTATTCGAGAAGAGTAATGTCATTTGTTCTATTCTGATGCCATATAATAAGTACAAGCTTATATAAAAAAGGGTATAGCATGTGGTCAGCATGAAATCAAGTGTACAGGAGGTACCCTTAAGGCAAACCACCTCAAAATTTGACAATAAACAAATGAATCTCACGCCTCAGTCGATTCTTGCACTATACAATTTGCTGCTAATTTGATTTAAGTTTTAACTTGATTGGTTCGAACCAGCTGGAAAATGTATTTAGAGCTTACTGCACCATACTACACTGAGTCTTGACAAGCACTACTGTTTTCCCGCCGTCTAACGTGTGATGTTAGATTAAATCTTTCATGATGTCGACATATTGCAAAAAAATAGCTGCTTATGACCGTTTTCTGAAGGCAGCCAGTAGTGGCGAATGGTGGTCTTGAAAATGAGAGCCTAATCTTTCTTTTGAATTTCCTCATTCGAAAAAAACCCGAAATACATTTAACTAGACATGATCTAGCTGGCATTAGGGAAGAAATACAAAACGGTTCAAGTGCTCCTCTTGAAATCTGTGAAATTTTAATAGCATTTAATTTATTTAATTGCTATAGAGAAATAATGGCTTTAAAATGAAAGAATTTAAGCACTTTTTAACATCATATAAGGGGGGATCGTATGCAGCAGAGCGACTTGCTCTATATGTGTGCTTAGTTCTACGTTTTCGATTCACTGTATTGATATATATTGGTTAAATACATTGATAGTTGCAAGTCTTTCTTCAGTTCTTCACTGTTATAGTTTAACCTCTGCTATAATGCATCTAAGTTATGCATAACTCAGGCGTTGCTACGCAGTGGCAAAACAAACCCTTAACAGCAAGGTGTACCCCAGCCTACATAAAAATTTATGTACGGAGGAGCGCTGGTCTCTCAGTACAACTGCAGGTCACTTAGGGAAAGTTCGCAGCACCTAACAAGTCTATATATTTTGCATTGGAAAGGCATCCGCGGTCAGAGAATGAGTCTCAAATGGAAGCGTGAATTAGACCAAGAAGTTCCAGATAATGACTGGCTTCCACCGCGAAAGATTCCGACGCAAAATTTGCTGTGCCGTCTGCTTCAACGCGAAACGTATCCAGCAAAGTAAGTAAATACTACTCGTCTCGGAATCTTTGACCCCTTTTTCTCTCCAGTCGTGTTCCTCTGTACTTTGCCTCATATCAAATGGAGCGAGCAGATGCCGTGGAACACGTTCAAAATAAAAGAAAACACACTGGAATCGAACTTGAAAACTACCTACAACTTATTGGCCTCTGATTTTTCAAGTAAGAGTGAAATAAATTTCAAGTCGTTCACTGTACTTTATATTTGATAGCAGTTTTTAAGCAGTTCATGCGATTACAGCTAAAAAAAAAGGTATATTTTGACCAGAGAATGAAGTAAGAAGATTTAATTCGGAAGTTACTTGTAATTTATCTGCTAGGAAGTGTCAACAATACAATCAAATTTAATTGCTCGTATAAGAAAGATATTGCCTTAGAAAATATTCTTCACTGCTAATTCAGTTCATAAATGTGTACTAAATGATTCTTACAGGAAATGTTTAGCCGACAAGCCACATATATGTTTGTTGTATTATGGCCACTATATATGTTAATGGGCTGAAACAAGCAAGCGTCTCGTAACTGAAATTAGAGTCAGCTAAGCCTTTATTATTTGAGGGGTGAGATGAACGAGAAAGCGATCGAACGGAGAACACATTGTAAATTCTCTTGCTTTTGGTTCTCAAATAAAATGGTTTCAGGCAGAACGTGAGCAGTTCGTTAATATCTCGGCAACTGCACCAGAATGCCGTACCACGACACACGATCATGGCTGTTGACAAGCCATCCGTATTCCTCAAAAAGTTTTCACCAGATGGAAAATACTTGTTTGCTTTTTCGTCGGACCAGATGTGCATACAGATCTTCAAGTATTTGGTTAGTCAAACGTGTGCGAATAATTGTGTCAATGTTTTTTTTGCTCAAAATATACACAGGGAAATTTTCGCGCCGTATCGAAAGCTTAGTTGTTATAAATATCATATTTAACCTACCATCATATCATACTTACTATCACACCTAATTGAATCACTTTTAAAAAACTACTTAGCCCCAAATGACGTGCTATATAAGCTTTGAGGTTTTACCGAGTAGAGTACGGTTAGCAGCTATGGTTTCTTAATTCTTCAGGGTCCCCAAGGTGCAGCTTCACTTATCTACAACCTTCCTGGAGAGTTTACATATGATCCAGTTGTAAGCCATCAGGCTTTCGAGAAATGTTTTAAACGCGTTCACAACGTCGTGGTAATTAATGATGCTTCGGAACAGCTGAACCGAGAGTGTTCGGTTTTTACGGATGATGGAAAGTACGTTGTATGTAAAGTAGAATACATCAAATGAGGTACAAGTAATGAGGCTCTTTGGTTCGTTTATAGTAAAACGTTTAATTTTGCACCGACAGCACCTGTTTCTCGATGTTTACGTTTGTTTATTTTCTCCAGGGCATGAGGCAAATGCGCAAGAAAGGTAACACTACAAAATAGAGTCCAAGCAAAACAGTATCTCTTTTAGCTCATGCACCTTTGCAGGCAACTGAAAAGTTCCACTAGAAAACAAACAGTTGATTTTGTATCGAATATCCTGGTTGCTCAATCCACTGTTGTTATGTAGTAATCGTATAATAGCATTAATCGGAGAAGAAAGTTAGATTTTTCAACTGGCATCGTTTTGTTTTGCCTATCGATTATAGGTTCCTTATCGTTGCCTCCTCATGCTACCCTTCAACGGATCCGACTGAGCCACAGCTCTACCTTTCAAATGAATCTTTAGCCACGAACGGGCATGCGCCGTATGAAGACTATGCCTTTCATTTGGTTGACATTGAACGAGGCAAAGTTTGCGATCGCTTACAGTTTCGCGTCGATCGGATTCTGCTTACGCATAACTACGGCATCTATCTGTTTGCTCGTACACTGGCCATTCTTTCACTGCAACATCAGACCATCCACGTGTATGAGGTTACATCTGAGGGAACGTTCGCTAAGCGACACGAAATTGGCCGGTTTTGCTTTCCCGATGATGGGGAAATTGTATCGGCTGTCGAGCCAGTACTCGATGAGAATGGCTCCCCATATCCCCCGCGGGCTGAAGCATGCATAGCATCTCTTAAGCATCGTCTCCTTGCTCTTCTGTACAAAAAGTGCGAAGGTGATCCCCAGCAGATCAAGGAGTTTTGTCAACTTTTCGGGGCGATTCAACAATTGAAGATGGTAAAAATGCAACTACTTGATGAGGATCATCTGCTAATAAAATTCACCAAGGAAAAGGCTCTACTAAATCGGTCACAAGACGCAAGTGGGCCATCTATGTTCGCCGTCTACCGAATTTCCACCGCGGAAGTTCTTAATGTCTACAAGAACACATCTGAAGAGTTACTCGCCCTAGTGGATAACTTCTGCGAATATTTCCGTAATCTACCGCAAGGTTGCAGCCCATCGAATAATGTCCATTCGAAGTTGTTACAGCAACGGTTTAAGCAAACTATTCTACACGCTCGTTTCGGAGGTCAGCAGGAGATGGTGAAGCGCCTTTTAAGCCAATTGCCCGTTTCATGTCAGAGCTTTAACGCCAGTCCTTACCTTGATCTCGCGCTATTCTCCTATGACGATAAATGGGTATCAATGTTCGAACGGCCCAAAGCTTCAGGAGAATACCCAATCAAATTCTACAACAGAGATTCCGGTTTGCTCAGGTCGGTATATTCCTCTCCACTGTAGTTTCCATTAACAAAGGGTTTGAATACAGATAGACAATTTCTTATTATCCATTATTTGTTGAATAGGCGTTTTTAATATGAGAATTATATCAAGTCCTGTTGGAATAGATACCGTTAGACATCTATGTATTTGTTTAAGGTATTCACGAATATTTCGACGCTTTCCTCTGATACTATTAATATTAATTACGCATAACTATGATTCGGTTTTGTATTTTACCGTTTTGTTTTGATACCTGGATTTTCACCGTACGATTGCTAATGTTAGTTATCCATTTTTCCTTTTATTATTTTACAATTTCCATCTGCCAAGATAACAAACTATATCTAGAATAGAAATGGTACTTAAGTAGTCTGTGTTCCTTGTGTGTGTGATGTACTTAATAAAATAAATGTATAATTTCTTATTTTACGGACTTGAGTAGGTTATCGTAAGTATAGCTAAATTAATTACCAATTGCCCGCATGATAGTTTAATCTATCACTAAAAGCTATTCTGTTTTGCTAGGTACAAGATGCACACTGGCTTGCAGAATATGTCTTCAGGACAGCGATTGAGCGGAAAAAGATTAGCTGCGTTTACGTTCCATCCTTTTGACCCGTTCGTCATATCGGTGCAACGGGCTAACGGTGACTATATAGTCAACTTCCATGTTCCGAATGATAATCATCACACACAAACGCTATATGACGATAACGGCAGGTCAACGATGATGCTCGTCTGAATTGGCCATTATTACTACATACGTATAACAATAAGAATGATTAGGTTCGTCAATTAACATGTTTGATAGTTTATCTTACCTTTGCTTGACAATTACTCTAAACAGATTTTCAGTCAGTCTATAGCTCAGTTTTGCTCTCAGTTGCATGTATAGCTTCGATTTCTAGAGTACAAATAATTGTTAGTATATATTGACGATTCAGTCAAGAGTATACAAGATGTCAGAGTAACCCGCAGCTTGCCTGATTCATAAAAATATATCATTCAGGTAGCAATAAGCAGCTATCATCTGAATAAACAATACATATTTACACACGAGCAAGGGCAACGAAAAGAGCAGAAAATGTGATCGGAGAATATCTACGATTCTCCGATCACATTTTCTAATTAAAATTATTCCGAGTAGTTGTGTGTGAGGACGTATGCATTATGTTTTCAAAGCGTAAAGTGAATTAGCCGTCATTGCGTGTGAACGTACATTGGAAAAAGGTTCAACAGCCACAACAGTAAGTAATATGCGCCCCAGTCTGACTGTGAATGTGATAGATCTGATGTCTGTAGCGAGTCATTGGTTGCACGAATAACGGTGCGCTATACTGTACACTGATAGGCGTCTATTTTATTACTACAATAGTTATAGATAGTACCATGAGGAACTGGACAAGCTACGACACAAACACGAGAAGGAAACTGGTTTTAGATTCAAACTCTTCTGTTGGTTCGGATTCCACGATAAAAATAGGTTTCTTTCATCTTATGTGTTAACAATCATAAATAATAACCACCAACTCAAGACCTGCGTTTCAGTGATCGATCATAGGGTTGTGATCGAGAATTATTTGATACATTTGTTGCAGCAAGCGATCGATGAAACTGTTCCAAAAATATACACACAAAATAAATGAAACAAGAAAGATCGGATTTTCAACTTCGATCTCGAATCTTCAATGCAAGAAGTACTTTTCAGCTTAAAAATGGTGGTAGAACTGAAAAAGAGGCTAGCGAAAACGACTGAAAAAAATATTCGTTGTGAAGTAATTATTGATGGTTTTCTACGTGTAAGGAATATAGAGAGCTTTTCTAATAATTTTTCAATTTAAAAAATAAATTTTCAAAATTATGATACTTAACTCTCTGTTTCACGCTCCGAGTTGTTCCTAAACGATAAATTATCAAATTATTAGCATATTAATAATTTAACGTGCTCAGCGATCGCACGCCGAAAACTGGCATAAGTAAAAATAAGTTGTTTTTTTATACATACCTTTAGAAATCATATTATTGAACCAAAGATTATAAGGCATGCAACCTTGCTCTCAGTTTCGACAATATCTACAGGATGGCCGGGCTGCAGGCGAATTTTTGCTTATGCTGTTTCAAAGACTGAATCTGTGCAAAAAGAGATATTTGAGCGACATTTTTACTACACTCACATATGTTCAGCATAACTTCCATCACGATTAGAGCTTTAATGAATGACAGGCTGCTTCAAAACGTTCGTTTCGCAGATGTATGAACGTCTTCTTGGTAGATTGTACAGCTGCCATATGTGTTCATTAACAAAACATAAACATATTCAGCGATTCTCTAGCCGGCTTGTATATAAGCCGGTGCACCATGCTGGTAAAGGATGTAGACCCTTTGTTCAGGCACTTCGGCTGTCCATGATTGTAGTACAGTTTCTTAGGTGCGCAGAAATCAAACTTTCTTTGACGAGGCATTTAATTTTTAGAAGAATTATGGTGTTACGCCATCTCTTCAACCGGACACCACGTTCAGAACAAGAATATTAGCCGGAGAATTGGCACACTTCCTAACTCCTAAGCAATCCAGCAATCGCTTCGGTAGTTGATTTTTGTATTAAAATAAACATTTTCTCGTCAGGCAAGAATCGAAGACGACTCAATGCTTCATACTCAGGAATGAAGGTGAAGGTTTATTCACTTATTTAATTGGCTTTATTAGCCTCAGAGAGCAGCTTTCTGAGTTTCGTGATATATGACGTGCGCCTTAAATTTAGCTGTAATACGGTAGCCTTGTTCACACAATTTTTTTGTTAATGACCTGGTAGAAACAGAATGATTGTCAGAAATGCATCGACTGACCCTCGGAGCCCGCGTTGCCTTTTTGTCCGTCGCGGATTTTCCACTGAGCTATGCTAGAACTTAAATATGCTTCTTGTGCAATCAGATATATTTGCAAGAGGTTTTTCATCTTGGTGGATTTTATTTTTGTCTTGAAGAGATTAGGTAAGAGCTGATCTTCGCTCGAGTTTTAAATATTCTGCAATTGTACCGGTTTCGGACAAACGAATCCGTAAAACCGCAGAGTACCAATCAAAAAAAGGCCCGAGTTTAGTCCAGCTAGTCTGTAAAACTATTAATCAAACTGTTTTACTTTGTATGGCCGTATTGCGATATACCTTAGAATTTAGAGTACCGTGTAAATCTAACCAAATCTTCTTTGAGACGTGATTCGATAGAAAATTTGCGTTTACATACTTTTTATTCACTACTTTTTGAACGACATTTCCGTCCGAATGGTATAGTTTAGGATAGACTAATAAAAACAAAACAAAGTATACAAGTAACCATATCTTGAGGATATTTACATGAAAAATAAATACAAAAATCGTATGAAAAAAGGGACAGTTGGGTCGATCTATTCACCGACAACGGCAGTTGGTTTATGTTTTAGGATCTAAAACTAAAAAAAGATTTTGAGTTAATCAAGAACCCTAAATCGTCTACAAGGTAATCTATTTAAATTTATCTAAAGCCATACGTTTTTTCAGAATCCATCAGCAACTTTTGATGCTTTGACTTGAGAGCTGTGCTTTACCAAAAATGTAAACCTAAATTACTATTTACTTTCAAGAAAAACTCTTTGTTCTCAGCATATGGATTACTAAAGTCGCACTCACGACGTCCCCAATAGGTAGCACTTACAGCATTGAGTAAGAAATGCTCTTTACTAAATAGATATCTTTTTCCACATTCTTAAACTTTTCAATAACAACTGAACCACATTAAGCCTATGATGCAAACCTAAATCAACATAACATAAAAAGCATAACATTTATTCACAAAAATAAATTTGAAAAATACACATTTGTTTTCCACGTATTCTTATTTCTTTTAGCTTCGATTTTCACCTGCAGAAGTACCGAAAAAGCTACACTATATACCTGGTTGGTAAATATGTATGCTATTTGCAGATGTTATATGTCTTTTGGATAATTTTTTTAAAATCAGTATTAATCATATCATTGTTTCAGTAGAGTCATACTCCGAGGCTTTTACGTGAAGTTACGTGCGTGGCAATCCTTTCGGTAATACACTTTAGTTCATGCTCTACCTTTTGCACCATCCGTCGGATGGAGTCGACATGAAAATTATCGATTCCCTCATACATTTTTCCTTTTAGCCGTAGTTGAACTACTTGCTCACGGAGTGTTTCTCTGTCAGAATTTTTAACTTTTAGAAGGTTTAATGAGGGGGCTAATGGCATCGTTTCATTCCCGTAGTCATTTATCTTCATTTGATGAAGCTCAATTTGGCTAGCTAATTTGGTTAAGTTTTCTTCTAGTTTTTGAATATCGACATCTTTTAAAAGAAGCAAATCATGCTGGATCTCCTTCACTTCATTTTCAATTAGCTCCAGTTCTTCCTTAAGCTGCCCCGTACGTAAAAGCTGTATATCGATTAATAATGCCGTCACTTTATTATCCTGGGATATTAGTAAAGGTTCGTGAGACTTCATTCGCTGCTCTATTTGCGCAAACTCGTCGACATCCTTTTGAGCTGCTGAGGGGAGTAGATTGAATAGAGAAGAAGCAAACTCGTCACTCGACTGACTCGAATTAAGCGGGGGTGTTGATCTCCATGTCGTGTTATTAGTCATGCTGGCAGTCCTAGTAACGTTGGGTAACGATCCTCGAGCCAGACACTTATCCAGGCAAGCCTTGGAAAATTAACAGAGAAAATTGCTTCAATAACTTACGTTTTTTCGCCTATGCTACTTTCAAAACAAATGCTGAATAAGGGAAATATGTTTTGGAATTGCAAGCAGCATTAATATACTATTATCACTGGCACGCAGCATGTATAGATGAGGGGGTTAGGCTCTCATTGCCCAGACTAGATGCAAAATTTAACATGAGCTAATGTAATAGGTCCAATAAAGCTGAATAAGTAATCAGCGGATTGGCGGCATTACTTATCTGTATGTTGTGTACCTTGGAGTGCCAAGAAGAACTAGCTCACTTTAGCACCGTAGAAAACTGAGTCACTAATGTTAACTATCGTATTTATCAGGACCTTGCTTTCAACAACAGCAATTAATACACTAGAATATTTTAATTATATTAAATGAGTCAACGCGGAGTCATTGGGCAAGCGCAAACAATTAAAGGCATCATATGGAGGAACGGACGCAATTGGCGGTTCCGCCAATCCATGATATATCAGCTGGCCCTGGGAGAGGGTAAATTTAAAAGGATTCAATGGCGGAATGTTGAGCCAAGGCTTCTATATTATAAAAACGGCTACACCTAATACAGTGCAATAAAATCATTATCCACGAGATTCTTTTCATAAGCACGATTCTGATTTCAGAAAATGAACTGGACCTACTACAATATTTTATAAAAATAGGTATAACAGTTCGAACCCTATAGACTAGAACTTAATATTCTGGTACAAAATTTAAGCTTTTGCGTAACACAACACGACAAAAAAATATCGGCCTAAGTAAACTACTAAAACTACTACTAGTAAACTAAAGTCTACTTGCCAATTCAGATTCTATGTATATCGTTACCCATCTTTTTATTCTATCTAATCAGATTTGTTATAAAACATTCAGCTATCTTTAAGATTCTACGCTATGGATCCGAGGGCATGATTCAAAATATTAATCATCACAACCTTGGAGGGCTGAAATCAAATGCTTCTAATCAAATAATATTATTTTGTATTTGAGGGGGAGTCTACCAACGATGTCTACGGAGGGAGACCTTTAGAAGCTTCGTCACCACGAGTCTGGGTACATCGCGTACCTTAAGAGTTTTTTAAAAGAATCTAAGTATAATTGGACTTTGTAAGGCGGCCCAGCCCGATCCAGTTTTTAGGACTATGTGACTAATAATAGGGATGTCGCAAAAATTTGTCATCTCGTATGCATGCTAATAAGTTTAATAATAAAATAAACTCAAATGTGAGCACTGCAATCATAATAAAAAAACTGCAGTGAGAAAGATCTGGTTAGCAGAAATATAGCATGATTCGGAAAATTTCGCAAAAACCCCTTGCATCCGTTTGCACTAGAGAATTTCTGTTTGACAAAAGCAAGTCCTCATGCAATTACAGTATATCCACTTGGTGCAACGAAAGCAACCTATAAGCAGGTATCCGAATTAATATTCGGTAATTAGCCTTTTTTTTTACATGAATGTCAGTTATACAAGATAAATATGCAATTCGTACGGACGAAAAGTATTAACAAGACAAATTGTGTTATATCATGACGATAAATTCAATTTAATCGTTTCCATTTTTTATCAGTCAATATGGGTGTCCGGAAAAATGACGGGTCAAATTCTGTCATCTTCTATTTATTGACTCGCAACAGCTTGTAGGGCAGAATACCTTTCGAAGTTCTTCGACAAAACCTGAAATTTTTGCCATCGACCATCACCAGTCATAAGTCGATGCACGTAAGGCTAGCAATAACTTTATTAACGCTGGTTTCGTTTGTTTAATCTTCAGACTAAATGTTTTATCGGTCGTTTCCATGGGAATAGCTTGAAACCTTTAGATTGCAACCGCCACATTCAGCGCGCGCCAATGCTTTTATTCGAAATCTTCTACGACACACCTACTAGTCGTCTTTGTCTTTGTCAAGCTTAAATACGTGAAATTAATTGAGCTCAATTCAAGCTAAATTAGTTATTTCTTGCAAGCTATTCTTCTGAACGACATGAGATTTTGTTTACTTGGAACCAACATTCGTACTTAGAGATATTTATATACGAGAATTGAGAAAGGGAGCATCTTAATTTTTTCTGACTTACAGCTTTTACTTAAAAGCTTTACAACTGATAACTGTGAAGTGCAAATAAACAATGCATCTTTCTTAAATGATTAGATGTTAAAATCCTTCCGTTCTTGCAGCAACTATCACGAGACCATATAAATGTTTTGCATTTTGAATTTTAGCCGTATTAATAGGATGGGATGATATTATAATAAACGTCCACATTATTAGTGAATTAGCTATAGTTGTTTATCTCGTTTATTACTATTATTACATGATGACATATGATGCCTGTTGATATCCTGTCGTCAATAGCTTTTCATCCTTCTAGTAGTCTCTCGGGGCTCTCAGCCTCCAATGTTTTAGTTGGCTCGATCTTTCTTGTGCAGTGTTCTTCGTTTGTCTGCTTTTTTTTTTTTGTTTCTCTAGAAATATCATTTTTCTCACTAAAGCAATCCCAGCTATGAACTTGTGGACATACTGTCACCACACAGCTATCAATTTGTCCTACTGGACCGGTTACGAATAATCTCTCTACTGGTGGCATTTTTGCCCACTCGTTGTTGTGTGAGTGCGCAGATGTTACAGTTATGCTCGAAGATAGTTCGATCACGCATGGACTTCGTGTGAAGCTTTGTGCACTACCATTTGACATACATTTTTATTGAATCATCGTGATATCTTATGTTTATCACGAGTTCCTCTCTACCGAGGGGAGGCTTGCGTTCCTCTTGTATGATATGGCGATTTATGTGTAAGCTATACGGTGACGAAGTCTGGTTTTTACCAGATGGCATGTCGTTTGGTTTTACTAACGAAGACACCACACGGGCAGACAGTGGTAGCAATGAGCAACGAGCAATCTATGGATAAGCCTACAGAGTGTTAAGAATATATTTATTAAAGTATTAATCTGGGAAGGGTCCGATGGGGTCTAAAATTGACTACATGTGAAACACTGATGTTCGACTAGATTTGTTTGAAGTCTTCAAGAAACACTTCAAAACAGAATTTTAGATTATTCCAATCTGTTAGCTAAATGATAGATGAACGTTCGGACTTTCGTCTTACTTAGGTCAAGATTACACTACATTTAATCCTGATGCAAATTGGTCCGATGCATTTACGTGTCTCGTATTGGGCATGGGAATCGCCGCTTAACGACAAGTAGGACAACCGCTTTGAGGACGGCTGCGGTAAGCAGTCTTTTGCTTATTTAGCTGGTCGACACAGGCCATCAATCACATTAAAAAACGTTTTAGCTAGAAAAAATGGGTATTTCGAACTCGCGCATTTGTTCTGCTAATTGAATATGATTTATTTGATAGGATCAATACTTCGGCTTCCTCTCGGCGAGGATGTATACTTTATGTCAACATCCCTTTATCCTACAAATTGTCTAGATAATTTTCGTAACTATATGTATGATCATTTACACCATCATCCTACAGTGCAATGGTAGTTCATCGTCGTGAAATATGAATAGTTTACAGAAAAGGTTGTCGCAAACGCTTCTCTTCACTGCCATCTGTTTGCGGGATGCCTATCGCCCTCACAACTGATCTTCAGAGGATTCTCCAAGGGCTCTTCGAAATAGAAATGCATTCAGTTGATTGCGTGTCCCCGTTCCGCTGCTCTCCGATCCGCTCACGTCGATCTCTAATAATTATAGCCCGTCCATATACTAATAGAGCATCTGCAGCGTTGGCTATCCGAGCCACAGCGAAATCTTACTGACTAAATAACATTGTCGGTGACCGAGTTTATGCCTTTCAACTAGTCGACCCCGTCGTGGTTAGCTATTTAAAAATCTCAATTAATCGCAATATAATTTACTAATAGAGCTGTGTGTTGTTATTAATTACGCCGCTGTTGTTTTTACTTCAGTAACACGCGGACGCTAGATTTTCTCCCGATACGAGAGAATAAGAAAAATTAAACAATGCCAAAAGCTGAAAATGACTATAGCAGAACAATTTGAAATTATTCCTACATCGTTTTGATAACAACTATGGCGATAACACTAAACTTTCATAACAAATCGCCAATAAAATGTGATCATATTTTCAACTAAATTAAGCGTTCTAGTCCTCGAAAAAAACGACATTCATCAGAGAACCGTGTTATGTATCCAACTGTTTCTGTGAGCCTGCTACTTTGAGAATTTATCCGTTTGCGTTGTTATGAGACTTTTTCGTATAACATAATAAAGAATTGAGAATTAAGTCACTTATCATCAAGTGGTGTATTTTTCGTGCAACCCACTTTATTAACATACATTATGGAGGTGTTTTGTGACTGTTTCATTTGATTGACGATCTGTTGAGAAAGGCTTATTCCTGATAACAGCAATATCTATCATAATATGCGTATTATTATTAACAATCATTAATACGGATTCCAACTTTGCAGTATTCCAGCTTCTTTTTTACTGGTGCAGCACTGATAAAGAACTTACTGATTGACTATATCATGTTGCACATCGTTTAATAATGGCCGGTAAAAGGGTTTTAGTTGCGACATTCGTTCGTCTCTCGTATCGTGATCGTGATTTCTTTCAACGTTCGCTAGTATCGCGTAATTTTTTAGCGATAATTATTAATATATTTTTATTGTCATTATTCGATTCGTCATCGTTGTCGTTATGGCAACGAGTATGTTACGTATTACATAGGTATTGCAATCGCGTCAGCGAATTTGCCCGCCTAATTTTAAAAACCCAGTCATACGTATAATACTCGGCTCTAGCGACCGAACAATTTTCCAGCGAGGAATTGCTTACGGCATACAACAGCCGCAGCTAAAGAAGAGGTTATTGCTCATATATGTATGCAACTATAACATGATCAAAAATCAACTCATTTTGTCTAATTCGCTTGCTGCGAGAGTTCGAAATTGAACAAAGGCACCTAAAGACTATGAGTTATATAGAGTATCAGAATTACTGTTATTACGGTTGTGGCAGAGTCGTGTTATGTCCTAACGAATACAAAAGTTGAAAAAATAGTATAATGTGTATTCGTAATCTGTATTAGGATTATATCTAAAGCTGTCGTGTTTTGATCGCTAATTCGTTCGTGTACCATATTGCTCGTCGTCGACCTTGGCCGACTGTCTTAGTTAAATGGCGAACATGGCGACTGATGGGTATTATCTAATTGGAACCGCCATTCACAACTATATATATATATATATATATATATATATATATATATATATATATATGGCAAAGTTTCTTTTGCGGAAGCTTACGGTCACCACCGAGATAATCACATATTAATAATACCTGTGTTGTTTACCTCTGTAAATTTTCGCAAAACGATCTATCCATGTAAACTAGAGTTCTTTTTATTTCTGTTCTTTATGTAAACGTAGTCGTACCTTGTGTAAATCCAACCAACAAAAAGTGCTAAATGAGCTTTGCGTTGTTTATTTTACTATAAATTTGTTCCCTTTCTTAGTTCGGGGGCATACGCCAAGTATTATCACATATGAGTACAATGCTTTATTCCTTTTAGAACATTAATTAATTCTTACGATTAGGATTGTTGTGAATCATCTTCATCATCACTGTCATAATGTTTCTTACGTTAACTTTCAATCTATTTTAGTTTTTGGCCAAAAATTGATGAAAGTCTTCCTCTTGAGGATTTATGCAAGATATTATAAGAAGTGCATCAATCATGCAATGCTAGACTAATAATGCATTATTATTTAGACCCTTATAATGGTGCAGTTGTTGTAAAATGCGTGACGTGTTCCCCATGTTGCGCTATGTATCAATAAAACTATATCCATGATGAGAGCCCGTCTATAAAGGAGCTTGCAGAAAACAGTAAATAAGGTGTCGACAGTGTCCATTTGTTTAAAATAGTGTCATTGAGTGGTCGCAATAAACTCGTCTTTCCAACGGAAGTACAGATTATTCGTTAGGTTGCTTCCACCAACCAACTCTATCGATATATAGGTAAGTTTGTAATACAATGCCCATTTCAGCATTCGCTGACCTTTGACGCGGCTAATGGCTTATTAGCAGCCCATTTTCGCTCCTCGCTTACTCGCTCAAAGCAATCCAGCATAAACACGAACTGAAAAATGCAAATATTTAGGTCAATCAGAAGGAAAGTTTGTCCACGAACGGCTGTATCAACCTGTATGGTCAGAAAATTCGAGCAGAGAATGCTGCATCCAGAGATAAAACAGGTTTGATAGAGAATCTGCGAAAAGCTACATACATACGTAAGTAAGACAATACTTACGTAAGGCGTATATATTTTAATAAGTCTCGGTTTTTTGTCTGGTCGACCGTATTCAAACTGGAATGCCATCCCTTCCGCGTCAGCCTCCCATGACGTAATGTTTTCCCACTCGAACTCAATCACTTGATTCTGTAATGGGCAATAAATAATATTTAAGTAGAAGCATTTTAATATCCGATGAAAAAAACTTTCACCAACATTGTTGTCTTACCCCACAGCAGTTTCGCTCATTGTAGCAAGATATATATATATATATGTACACCATCTGGGCTCAAATTTATCACTGCCGCGACTGCGTGACAACTGCGACTACCCCGGTTGTAAACGTTTTGACTACTTGCACATTGCGTTTCAGTTGATGATATCGTATACGTCACAGCAATGTGTATTGACACTAGGGACTTAGTAACGTTAATATGGACAGCAGCAGCAGCAGAAGACGTTGCGGCCTTTAGGCTCACTTATGTTAAAGCAACATGAAACATAAGTCTCTGCATTATATACAACCGTTAACAAGACCTACCTGAAGTAACCCATCTTCAGCGCAGGCTTGCAATTTGAAGTTCGTCTTTCCCACAGAAGCAACAACGTGGCCTTCTTTGCGAGCGTCACAGGCGCAATGAGGAAATGACACTTCTCCATAGCCTTCTAGAGTCCGAGCCAGCGCTAGATACTCGTCCTGACGAGATGGTGAGTCCTAAAAAAAAACAAGCTTCATAATGTCCGAGAAAATATACACTCTCCGAAAAAGTATTGCTAGATATTTTAATGAAACAGAAATATATCAGGCGAAGTAGAGACAAGTATGTAATTTTTCTGATATTGTAGTGGCTGTGGCTTTCGATGGTATTCCAATACGTAGTTGATCACATAATGACGCTTGCTACTTGTATGCAAAAAGCAAGGAAACATGAGGGCCCATACCTGAAGAGCTTTGAGCTGGTATAGTTGATTTCCCGGCTTGATCTGGCCTTTGTTGACGTCATCCACGGCTTGCCAAAAGAGCCAACTGCGCGCAGTGTCCAAACTTTCCGCCAGTCGTACTTCGAGCTTAAGAGAGAACAACCATTTTCGTACGACTAGACAAGTGGCTGTCGCCGTACTGCACACCGGCCATATTATGGCATTGAAGAAAGAATGTTCCAAAGAAATGTTAAGGTGGTCCGTTTGAGAAATAACATAAAACATTTGGAAAAGCATATCAAATATAGACGAGGATTCGCTTTTTTTTTTTTTTTTTTTTCATGAAACCTGGCTTAATTTGAGTTATACGTCAGTTTATAACCTGCTTTTACATATGTAGACGACGTAACATAGTATAGGCCCGCTTTGTCGTGGAGGGTACGTACCTGTAATTTTGTATATACAAATTGTATGGAAATTCCGATGAAAGCAGTTTACGTTCAAAGCCAAATTCAACAATTTCAAAAAGCGCGAAGTACTTGGCAACATCAATCGAAACGCCGGATTTAGCCATTACCGCGTCATACACTTCTGTTGACTGAGAGTTCTTTCGTACCGAAACCACAACAGTGATACGATCCGGAAGCAGAACCTGACCACGAGCCAAACAAGCAATTTTTTTTTATCAGAGTACAGAAAAGGTGCCGCGACAAAGTACTTGCATAGCTACAGAAAACCCATTTATGATAGATGCTCAGGCGATCGTAATATATATCGAGTATGTTATATAGATGTGTCTTTCAAAATATCTATAAATCTGAACAGTAAACGTATTTACTATTGTAAGAAGATTAAGCTAGCATGATTAAAGTGACAAGCTAAGTACAATAAATTAATGTTTTTACATACCACTCTTAAAAAATATTCCCACAACGTTGACGCACTGCTTGTTAGACTTTTTGGACTAATAAAACGACCTACGCCCAATTCAATCGTTGGTTGCGATTTTTATAGCCGTTACCAGAACCAACACAAGTTTTACCAGAAAATAATATTAGATAGAGTATTTTTCGTATGTGCTTAACCCGGCCTTAACGTTCTAGGTAACTACTTCGATTTACAAGGCGATGATAAAGCAAGCGCGAAAGCTAAAGACCCATCGTCTCAGAAAATTGCATGATTTCTATTGATTCTTTCACTAACAAAGGTATTGACTTAAACAATTTAGGTGTTGTCCGTTAACATTGATGATGAGAATTAAGAAAGTAGGAATTTACACCTATCTATAAATATTAGCGACAAGTTAGCGAATTTTCTAACGGTAGTTTAAAAATTTTACAGAACCTTTCCGTTGTTGTTTTTTTCTTTATTTCATTCTCGAATTACAGTCTTAAGCTCGGGTTAAAATTCGTGTTCGGCAATTATAGCAATACAGTTTCACAAAGAACGTTTGCTAATATTGGTAATATGCTTGTTTCGTCGTACCTTGACGTCAACAATGCAAGCACTGGCTCCATTTTCATCGTCATCAGTTAAAAAATCCTGAACGATATCGTGCTCAGCGATCACCCGAACTGCGCACACCTAAGTAACCATCGTCACGACGTACACGAACGAGAGCAACAAACAAACAAACAAAGAAATAACACGATCACGAGCCATCCATTTACTTGTCCCATCACCATCATCATACCATTTTCTCATAAGATTTTGCGAAGGCAACTTGCGCGGATATTTTTCAATTGAAATTATCTTCATTATACGCAAGCAGCCTTCGTAACCGGGTAAACCGGATTTTTATTACGTGGTTGTCGGTAACACTAGTATTGTTGTATTGTTCAGAGAGATTCAGGCCCTTATTGAGATAAAAAGAATAACTGTAAATGGTTTACGTTGCTCTGCTGGTCGGTCAATTAAATAAAGATGCAAACCTTTTCGAGATATTGTTCTAGTCCGCGTCGACGCGAGTCCAATTGCTGATCGGACAATGCAAAAGGCCATTTTCCAGGCAATTTAGGAAAGGCGAAATCGGGAAACTCTCGTTTAAGGCTAGCATGGAGATTAGCGAATTCCCGATACCGGCGAGAACACAAGTGACGACCTGCCATATAGATGTTGTACACCTGCAAAGAGACAGCTCGTACACCTTAGTCATTTTAGTTTGGACAGGGCCACCACCATCATTTTGATAATGATGCTTAAAATTCTCTATAAAATAATGTTTCAGTGTTCATTTCTGCCCTATTAGATAATATATGCCGGTTCTCTAGGACGTGTCTTAGAAATTTAAGATCACAATTTTAGCTCCGGGATCCTTAAACACACCGTTTATTTTATTTGTCGCCGACACTAAACACATTCGTTATTAAGTAACTATATCACAGCCATTATTATGCTTGTTTTTACTTAGTAATAAGAGCATAATAACTATGTTACAGCCAACGGGAATTTAAAGACATATAAAAGGTTTATATATTTTTAAATTACTGATATTTACCGCTGGTCTAAGTCGTGAAAAATAATAAGCACGGAAAATAGAGTGAGAGGTGAATCGCAACTGCTTCTGTTAACCATAGAAAGAAAATTTGATATATTTCACAGTGTTCTCATTTCATCAAGCCCGAGCAAATGCAACCGTGACACTTAACCTTTAGCAAATCTGGACAGCAACTTCGATTCGACATGTCAACAAAACTCAATGTACCTTTAAATAAATTACTTCGACTAAGCCTGAGCTGCAGTATAGGAAAATGTTCCTTCTCCTACAAAGGGTCAAGAAAAAGACAGGTCCAGCAAAATATTGTCAATAATGTAACTTTTTCTACTGGCTGTTAGCAAAAGACGAAAGGATAAAATAGCTCTAAAGATACGGAAGGTATTTGATGTGGTATTTGTTGTCGTTTGTTCAACTATGGCTTTTTTTTTTCAATAATTTTATTTTTAGTTATTTTTCTATTTGTGACGACCAGATATTAAACAATAAGTCACAGATAGTATTTACTGTAAAGTCAAATTATCCCATACATGATAGCTGCTATGAAGTAGCTTAAATTTATTTTTTTTTCGTCAGTGGTGTAATCGAAACAGATAGTTCGCAACTGTTTGCGCAACTTACCGCATATTTTTCAGTGGTCGCACTTGAACCACGCTGGGGTTCACTCCAGGAGTAATCGGGTATTGAGATTGGCAGAGATCGCTTTTCTGAGTAATCGACATAAGAGATACCCCCGCAGTCTTCATGAGGTTCAAGTCGTTCGGCCTCTGCCGCTGTTACCGAAATGACCGTAAGCCGAAGTTTGTCACCACCGCTTTTTATTAGGTCAACCACTTGTTTATGTGTTGCGCCTTCTACGTTCACTCCATTTCTACAACAAAAAATGAAATACTTCTGTTACAGACAGTATGTACTATGATTATGGTTTGGACCTTAGTTTACCCTTGGTTTTATAATAAACTATAATAACAATAATTTTGAAGATAACCTGTCAGCTATGCGTACATGAAGAGTATTTTCCGTAAAGAATTGAACACTTATATACTCTCTGCAGTGCTCTTTTTATCCTACACAGAACTCAATTGTCTAATGTGCTCCTAAAAATTAGTCTTGTATTACCTTTCGATCGCTTTTTGTTCAATGTCAAGGCCTTTCTACATCTTTGTGTAATACGTTAGGAGAAACTTTGGTCGTTATATAAAATCAGCAACCTTGAATAGACGAATCGACTAACATATGTCAGTGACCGGTCAGCGACATACAGCATATTACGGGTCGCAATTCTGCCACTTGTCCTGAATCTCATTCCCTTGGCTTTGGTTAGCTTGTTGGTCCTAAGACAAGGTAATGTAACCTCGTTAGGAGGTGCCACACCGCGGGAAGTGACTAGCCTCCGCAAGATACCCAAACCGTTTGCATAGACAAAAACCTGCACCAAATTTCTAAGCCCGCGAACCTTGTCGGAAAGGTTCTAGAGTAAGCAAGTCTGTGAAAAGAAGAGGGCTTGAGTATTCGCCCTGGGCCACATCTGCAGTCTAGTGCTGGCATTTCCGAGATTTCACCCTCAAATGTAACCCTCTGTTCCTGGAGTATCGCTACCACTAGCTGAGCACGTTTGCGGGAACACCAACGTCGGCGAGGGTACTTAAGACCGAATTCTTGAAGGCTGACTCGAATGCAGTTTTGAAGTCTACAAACACTATGTATGTGTTCCTGTGATGGTGTATAGAGCAGAATGGCTGCATGCTAAACTTGAGAAGCACATAGTGGTCGGGGTTCGAACCCGGGCGTGGACACTTTCTTTCGTACTGGAAGTCAACTGTCTAATGGAACGCTTAATGGCGGAACCGGACGTAGCACTCCTAAGTACATCACTTAGGTGCATTGCCGAGGGCTACCTAAAACTGATTTAATATTGGCAGGTTGGATCTTGCATGCCGTTTTGGTCGAATCCGCTCTCCTGAATCCATATTGCTATTTTTTAGTGTACTCACAGTTTCCACATATACGTTCAGTCTCCTTGCCAGCAGGTAGGAAAGAAATTTATACTAAACGCTTTACTTCGCGACACCCAGGCCACGACGTTGGTCGGCCTAAGTCGCCTTTGCCTTTTGGGATAACGAAAGGCATTGTATTCCGCCAGTTCGGGAAAGGTGGCTCAGAACGAAGACATTACTTGAACAAAGCGGCCCAATACTCCACGGCTGCCTTGGGGTATTTATCCTTGTCCTGTCCCGCTGTCTTTATCGAGCGAAAACTCTCGAACGCCTGAGTCACTTCTATGACGAGGAACTCCTGTTCCAGCGTTTCGCGTTCCCCGTTGTCGCGTTGCCCGACGCTGCTCTAAGCGGTGGGAGCCCCTGAGGTACAGGGTTACCAGATGGTCCATGAACGTTGATCAGGCAGTGGGACACGATGTATGCTTGCGAAAGTTAAGCCATTGATATTGCTGATGCTCGGCGTCTCTTATGGTAATAGCCTCCTGCTGTTTCAGGTATTTCTCTCGCTGGGCGGCATACGGCTTTCGACAGAGCAATTTGAACATTGGGGCTCATGGCCCTGTAGCCGATCGTGGCATTAGGCAATTTTGCTATTCGTTGTAGCCTAAAGATATCCTTGGGACGGCAGGCGGGATGGCGATTGTAACCTCAAACCATAGCCGATGTTTGCTTGGGCAGGCTAAATAAAGCAAAGACTGCAGAATTTCGATCAGATGACGCGGATAGACCTCAACATCAATCGAGTTTGTATCCATATTATGCATACATATTGTAGATTACGCATGCACATATATCACACAGCAATATTTACTCATTTTGGAGAAGATCGATACTGGCCGATCACATACGAAGCCAGGAGCTTTGAAAGCTGCGCCGCCTATAACAACCATTAATTATTATTATTATCATTATTATTAATGCAACCATGATTAAGCGCTGAACTTTCAGCCTGTGACATGTGCAAAGGTTACATGATAAAGTGTAGTTAAAGGATACATTAACTTATACACACTGACTGTGATCTCCTAAACATTTCCAACTGTTACCTAAGATATATATTAAGCCACAATCAATTACAAACGCAATAAATCGCTATTAACTAGGGGTATAATTTAGTTGCCTACAAAAACATGGGGCATTCATATATGCCTTGACATGATGCAAAACCTTGACGTGATTCCTTTCTGAAAGCAAAGAGCTAACAAATTAGACTTGATTAGTAGAGCGTTGATCAACACAGAAGGGAGAAATGCACGAGGCAGGACGTTCCCATCGTTCAGTATCTATTATTCACGAGTATTAGGTTGAAGACACATAACGACGAGTGACATAAAAATTTTCGATAGTCGAAACTATATACTATTAACAGTAATACTAAACACTTTCTCAGAAAAATAATAATATTTGATCCAACAAGAGATCGCATTTTCTGAAAGGTACATGCTGATCCATAGCGCACCGCTAAAACTGCTGCGGTATTAAGACTTCAGGTCAAACAATGTTAAAGAGAGATGCACTAAACAATTGTACCGCGAAATAAAAGTCAATAATTGATTATGTTAATTTGTTGTAATTAATACGTGTTATACCATTTAAAGTCTTTAATGTTTTTTGCCAATTATGGCATCCTCTCACTGCACTGAACCAAACACACTGTACCCCAATTAGAGATACCTGTTTGTACACCGCGTTGATTTCGATACCTAAAATTAAAAGCGACATTAAATTTAAAAATTCCATAGAAACGTCAGAAAGTGATCAAATGAATAGAAGCAAAGCAGTGCTTAGTCGAATTTCCCTTGAGAAAGTTTCATGGCAAGAAAGAGCTCTTTCGGAAACTGTTGAGAACACCAAACAGCTTCTATATTCGGATCTATCATAAATTTTCAATCGTTGCGCAGATAAAGAATTAAGCAATCATGTTAAATTTGGAGGGTCTTTTTATATTATCAGCGTAAAATAGACTTCTCTGGCTATTTCGTTTTCGCCATAGCTTCTTTTAGATAAATCAAACACATATATATATATATATATATATATATATATAATAAGGTGTTCATCTATGTACCTGTACACGGTCTTTAAGCTTTATGTATCCAGGGACGTTCAATTTGCCTTGCGTAACAAACGCGCCCTTCATTTATCCAAAAAATAGCACCGGTATTTGTACCGATACTATAAAAACCTGACTTTCATTGTATCCTACAAAAAATTCAGTGCAATTTTTTTTCTAGTGTCGAAACGATGATATTCTTAGCTAGTAACTAATTAGCTAAGATATTGTTGAATATTTAACAAGTAGAGAATACAAACGCGTAATTTTAATATTTATTTTGAAGAAGAATATTTCATACTCGTATAGTTTTTCGGTAAGTTATGGTTTTGCATTTGTCCTTAAAATGTTGCATCTTTACTCCTTGACACAACTGGACTTAAATGATTTTTTAGGGAAAATATATATCGTCATCTTAAAGACAATTTAAAAAGTTAAATTGTGAAACATGACTTTTTATGACTTCTTTCTATGAAAATGAAAGCAAGCAAACGATAGTAGATACTGCAGAACAACTTCCTACGCTAAGAGCGAACTGAGCCTTCGTTTTATCTCTACAGTCGTAAAAAGACTGTTACCAATGAAAGATCCTTAGAACTCAAATCCATTGCCTTCGAATTTACCCATTTAATTTAAAAGAACCTTGTAAGAATTTAAAATAATTGATGATAAAAAATACTATTGGATTAGTAAAATCACAGAGTTCGTTATAAATTTGTCAATCCGATCTACGGTTTGCTTAACATGACTTTTACATCGAATGCCATTTTTTTTGGATACATGAGACTATCAACAGAATTCTCGCGGTTAGTTTAAACTTTTTTTCTGGCATATTAAATATTTGTCTACAGGTAGCCAAGGTTTTCTGAATCCTGCATCTAGTGCCGCTGTAGGCAGTCCATCAAAAGGTTGAACTTCAGCACGAAACATGTCTACGCAGAGATTCGGCTCAAAATTCTTACGTATTCCTCATGTTTACTAAGCAAACGCGTTACCCGTTTCGCCATACTATGCATTATTAGCCTAGTGCTACCTTACATGCTACTTGCAATTTCATTTTTTGCTCTCCAATTTGCTGTGCAGCCAATGACAATTTTGTTCCAATTTTCACCTTAAAATTGATGTTTTAGATTCTAAAGGATTGTGTTCTCAACGCCTTACTTCAACGAAATCGGTAGCGTACTAGTTTTCCGGGGTATATTTGCCGCGCCCAACGCGAATGAAAGAATTTCTCTAAGATGGTTTGCTAGTTAAAGAAAAACATCTTAGACCCGGAAAAGGCATTTTGCTCATGTCGGTTCTTTGGAGATCGATTGAGGGGGCCAGGAGTACCTTTTTGAGACGGAGAAAGATTGTTGTCGGATTATCCGATCCGAATTACCAACCCGAGTTTTTAATAAATGCTCTCGAATGACGATGCTTCATTCTGCTTATGGGTGTAGTCCATCTTTCAGCCAACTCTTGACTTGTTTGTATGAAGGTTGACACGAGCTGACCGCGTTAAATTGAGTCCTAAGTGCCACCTTTGGCCGCTAGAAAGAGCGCTCCCAGCTATAAAATAGTCGCCATCGGTGACGAGAATATTTAGAGGTAAGGGAGAAGGATCCCAAAGAGGATACTTGAAAATGCATCTCAATAGTGGTTTTCTGACCACTATGGTAGTGCCTCACAACACTTCGGTATTGAAAAAAGAAAACTGTAGGCAACATTTCAGGAAATGTTCGCTTAAGTTTAAGTCCTTTATATGCTATTTCAGCTTTGATTGCTATTGCATACTTAAAATCATTCACAATCAGATTTTGCAATTGTTTGTGCATCAAAATAACTATCACTGACTTCTTGCCTACTTCCTGTTATTATTGTCTTGGCTTCAAAAAAATCACCAGGTAGTAAAAACATATGGTCGTTTAAACCGTGCGCTGCTTCAAGTTTGCACCGTACTAACCCACATCTGAGTGTCAACACAGTTATAGGGTAGAGAGATTAGATGCCTTATCATTCACTACCTATCCTAACACTTTCTGAAAGTACAACTCCTAAAATAGTATTACCATACATTCGCACTTCGAATAAATTCAAGGTTGAACCTGTTTATATTCACTTTTTAAGAATGTTCGCTCCCGTTCACCCTGTTACCCCCACTGTTAACTTTTAGGTCCTTCCTATTTTGTTTGTAGGCCCCTTCTTTGTGCGTTCCACTAATTGGCTTCCTTATCTACTTTATAAGCTTACTAGAGCCATATAAGATTCAAGATTTACAGAAGATGATAACACGAACATTTTTTCTACCTGGTGAAATCCTTACCGATATTTAATAGCTTTTTGGCCAGAGCATTGTCGAAAATGCACTTTTTATGTTATGAACTCAGGAAAAGGCGCGACCTGAACTGCTGGTAGCACCTCTTTGAGTGCGCTGCCGTAATAACCATAAATAATCGACGATCGCTGGTTCAAATTTCAGCGCTGGCAAATGGCTACTATGCCGTTTTTGTTAAAGGAAGAATCAAAGGAGTCCAACAAGACCAATTCTGATCTAACCTTCCAGTAAGAACAAGGCTCTTTGATGCAGCAACGAAAAATTTTGATTTCGGGGAATTTATTACACAACAGAAGTAGCCAAAGACGTCAACAAGATTTAAGCTGATATCATATTCATCGTAGAACAAAATTGTAATAAACAGCCTAGCCAATGGCTAACAGCAGATGCATAGTACTTGATTAATGAAAACAATTTAGCAGAAGAACTGCGAAAACTTGTTTCCCCCACCTCTTATACACAGCTTCAGTTCAGTTCCTTCTTTTCTACACGCCCAGTACCTTTAATATATGAATATGAATGCTGAAACTTTGGTTTTATCCATAAGCCGTCTCATGTAGGTCATCCACGATTTAGCTTTCTTCCCTCTCCTATGTTTCTGTAATCAATAAACACATCTAGATTGGAGTTGTACGAAACAATGTTGCAACGAAAAGGCTCGATTTAGCATCAAGCCCCTTCAATCAAGACTTGGTCAAGCATACGAGTGATATTAGGAAACAACTCGGGATAAGCACGAATGGCACTACGTGCCAAAATCCTCTTGACTTACGGTATTCGTCTTTGATAAGTGCGACTCACATCGGCAGATGTGAGAAGCTTATATCACTTAGGTCTAATCGCGAACAGTCGTCACTCTAGTCAAATATAGAACGAATATCCTAGCAAACAATTGAGCACAGATATAAACGGGTGCCACTCAACCAGCTAGCCAACTAGATGCTCAGTTGTCAGTTTTTCAGTCAATTTTACATTTGCCACCTAGAACGTTAACGTAACAGCTAAGTTACTTTGAAAGTTTTTTTACAATGGTCGAAAGTAAAATGTATGCCCACATTCGTGGAATATAGCAGAGTTTGTTATAACGTTTCCATTCTAAAAGCGAGACCAAGGTGTTGCACATGAGTGCTGCTAAGTAACACCGCCGAACCATCTCGACAGTGTCGCCGTCTACTGAAGGAGCGAGCAATTATAGAAGGATTGGTCCGTCACGCGGCCTTTGATGGTTAGCCAGCGCAACGGTGCCGGAGTAACTGACCAATCTCGACCAAAGAAAAGATAACGCCTCTCTTTGCCCGACGGCCGCGCCAGCAACAACGACAGATGTAATCGCAGCAGTTAAACGACAAGATGATCATCATGTTGCGTTCCCGCTGCTGTTGCCCATTTCACGAACGGATAAACGACAGCACGCCGACCCTGGGGAAGAGAGGAGCAATCGTCTGAGGGATACGGGACGAGGAGGAAGAGGAGACCAAATGGATCGCAAATGGCAATAGCACTAATGTTAGTAGTCATAGTAAAACAGATTAGAAGGGCTGAGGCGAGACCAAACGAGGCAGGCAGTTAGTCAGCGGCAGCGGTTGTCTGGCTAGATATAATGGATGGTGGATGATGGCTGCTCCTAAACGAGTGCACGGTGCTTGAGGACGTTCGACTGTCATTCTCCCCGCCGCCTTGACCCCCCGATAATAACACTATAGCCAGTAGCGTTGGCAATGAAAAACCACAATTGACTTTCAGGCTAATTGGCCGTATGGCCACTGGTGCACGTGGTTATCAAGACTGATTCAGAAATCTATCAAAAATAATTAAACGGGTGAGTGTTTTGGGTGAAAGATGAAAGATGGCTTAGTAGATGGGGTAGCTGATTAGATATTTTAGAAACTTGAAAAGAAAAAGAATGGTAACAATTGTAAAAATGACCAAACTCTGATCAAAACAGGTGAAGACTTATAAATTCTGTAAGTTCATGGCTAAGAGAGCTTAAATTGCGCGTCCGGGTAAGGATCACACCGTGGACGTAAAGTTCACTTTTCTCGATCATAAAACTCTACTATTATTAAAAAATAAAGGTAGTACAAAAACGATTTAAAAAGCTATTAAACCAAATGCTCAATAAAATAAGGAATAACAACACTATATAATCCAACCTGAAGACGGAATCCATCTAAAAATATCTGACCTAAACCTTCGCTGCGGCCGGAGGAGCCTAATTTCTAAAGCGAGTTGCTTGTTTTAACAAATTAATGGAATGGCGGATTCGCAGAAAAATATTTAAATTGTAACACATACATGTTGCTATTCAAACCGTACTTTTCTGTATTCTGATTTCAGAGTCGATGGAGCTCGCGCAGAAATTACAATGCATTTATAAAAAGTCTTAATAGAGCGGCGTGATACTGTAGGAAAAGATCACAGCGTTGTTCTGACGTAAACGATTGTTCCATAGACTCTCCGTAGATTGAATAGATTGGAAAGAGCAGACCTTTTACGTCGCCCTCAATTCCGCTACAATATTGCCGCTTTTCAAATGGTACACCGTTGAAATGAAATAATTTTGTTCTAGTAAACTAGTAGCATACTGTATCAGTATCGTGACCATATACAGCCGTGCTTGGAGTATCGATAACTACTTTTTCCTTACTACTCAGTGTGGTGATTTCAAAACCACTCCCTTCCCTTGACTATGCCCGTGCTCAAGGCTTATTCAATAATACATCTATTATATGTATTGTACGTGTACATATTTGAATTTCTGTCGACTCGAATGCGACATCGTCATTGCTAACTAAAGATACGCCGAGAATCCCTACAGTATTTACTACAACTTACACTTCGAGTATCCGGTCGCCTCGTCGTATTCCGGCCTTCTCCGCTGCACCGCCGTCTAATACGGCACTGACGTGCTGGAGAGGAGCGTAGAGTTCACCGTTAATCGACTTGAGTGGGCCTCCCTCGCTAACCTGGCCTCGCACGTTGAAACCAAATCCCGTCTCGGACTTGACCACTGTTACCACTCGTGGCCCACAGAGCGCAGGGTCGCCCGCCATTTCACCCCTGCTTACCGATACTCTCTGGGCGGAACCGACTCTGCACTGTGTCACTCACAGCTGGCCGATAATGACACCACACGAGCGCTCACTCAGTATAGCCGCCAGTAAAAGCGACAGACATTTCAGCGCGGTGCAGGCATACGCTACGCCAGAGGATATTCTAGTTTTTCGTTTGTCGAGCTCAAACAAAACCGCCGAGCATTGAGATTGCCACACCGCACTCTACCGCAAGCAAAAAAAAACAAGCACAGAGAACCCGCACCACACAGAACAGAGGTATACACAACGTCGTCGTCTTCTTCTTCCTCGTAATAACAGACACGGGTGAGCACTTGTGCCACCCAACACCAATAGCAACGGCAACGACGATGACTTCGTCGTACTGCTCCAACTAATGCAGCTTCCTCTTATTGTCAACCTTGCAGTAGCGCGACTTATCTGTAGTTCCGTCGAGTTCACGCTAGCGCGCGGACATGCGGAGGGTGCAACGGCGGGCCGGCAAAAGAATTGGGAAAGGCGGCCAAACCGATGAAAAGGCTTGGGAGGGTGTTAACGCGAAATGGCAAGGAAACAATGGAATACCGCGTAGGGGAGTAGTGTAATGAATTATGATGATTTGTGACGGAGAGAGTCATCCTTTATCAAGAAGGTCGAAAAATCTCATGCACTGCTTGCACTCTGATGGTCACGCTGCGTCGCATCACAGCAAAATAAATTGTCATTCAAAATTGTTGACGTTCTACAGAATCTTAGAAAAGAAATTAATGGATAAGCCTGTTGTAGTGATGCAAGCGTCTTCAAAGACAAAGTAACACCTTCAGTAATATGGTAGAAATGCAAGTTTATCATTTTATAAAAGATCGAGTAAAAAAGCATGATTAAAGTCTCAACGACGTTCATAGGCTATCGGAAACGTGCAAATGAAAAGAACCGCAAAGTGAAATATAATGAGAAGCTAAAGCAAATAGTAGCTTTCCACACACTGCGTCTTTGAGAAAACACTTATACACTTGATAAGTAATTATTCTCGTGACGTGTAGCAATCGTACAAACCGACGCACACATAAATGCATAGCACGGGGGGTAGTAAGTAAAACTACAGGAGTTGAAGCAATAACTATCAGTACTTTCGAAAAAGAAGCTATTCACTTATTAAAAAATGATAGCAGCGGGCGTATGGGTCTAGTCAATAATGGAAAAGCCCATCTGATGACTAAAACGCAGCATTATACACCCAAACTTCACTCAGGCTGGATGAAAAATAATTTGAAGTTGAAAAATGCTTAACTCATAAATAGAGTAATAATAAAGACCGGTGCGAAAACAGCTAAAGTTTCGCAAAACAGGATAATGTGACCCGAATAAACCATATAATAAACGTCAAACTTAACGAGGCAAAGGATTAACACACATAATGAATATGGTAAGGACACGAAGAGCTCTAGTGAAGAAAATAAACTCAACAAGATCGTCTAGATTGAAGACAAGTGTTATCTAATTGGGTACGAAGCGAAGATACGGTTTCTAAAGTGGCTGTTAAATTAGCGATATGCGTTGCGATTGCTCTGTAATTGATATTACTGTATTAGTAAAAATAAGAAAAGCAAACCAGAGACAGGACAATTAAGAGACTAAGTGGTTCGCATTGATCCTATGCGATGAATGATGATCCTATGAGTTGTGCGTTATGTTGTACATTATCACTGTAAAAATTTCATCTAATGTCGTTGTCATCAAGCCGAAAGTACGTATCTCTTGTTCGAATGAAACGCTCATGAAGAAAATAAATCGGTCAGATTTTTCCGTTATTAGTGTTTAGATATATTGAAAACGAATTAACAAGACGCTAAGTTTATCAGCAATTGCAAAGAAACTCGAATGTTTTTGAGTATAAGTAGTGTCGTTATTATTTGTGAACAATGATTTAAATTAAGCACAGAAGGTAGAAATAAGAAATTGCCTGAGAAATCTGCGAGAAGTGAAAAATGTTAGCAACTGAGTTAGACCGGTCTTTCGGATAACTACGCGTGCTACGGAAGGATGTTCGAGCAGCGGACGCAAAATAAGTAACAACTCTAACATTAAGAAGGTACGGGTAAAACGTATAAAAAAAAAGGTTAGTTGTGTTGACCTGTTCATAAATAACTCTTATGAATAGTTGAATAAGCGTTAACCGATATAATCGGATCAATCTAATTACAGGCCGGTTTCCCTTCGCTCACCCATTGAACAGCCTTCCGTAGTTATGGAGTTGGTCGAGTGCTAAAAAAAGCCTAGCTTATATAAAATAGCGAATATGAAAGTAGAGAAAGGCGTGCTGGATTCTCCCGCTACGTTAACATCAGGTGCATCTCGTCTTCCTTGGGAATAACAACGACTCTGTATGACAATGCTCTGAAGCGTGCAATAAATAAAGTCGAAAATTTACGTGCATATAAGTATAAAACAAAGGGGACTGCAGAACCGATAAGAATAGAACGGCATCGGGCTGCTACCTAAACAGTTAGTCGGCGCAGAAAGTTTCACGTAAAGAGCAAGCCGTGTTGATGAAAATGACAGACAGAGGGCATGGTATAATAGATATTAGTTAGTATAACCGGGGAATTAGCAGACAAAAACATACAACAATCTAGGTAAGGTTTTGAATCGATGAACTAAGAAATGACAAGCGCTGTAATTCATGCGCTGAGTAGAAGGCAGCAGATCTGTGGCTCATAAACGTAAGTCATGAAGTCGGCAAAAAGAGCAGTATCTTCTGGTTTCTTTTTTTCACAGTAAGCATCAAACAATATGGAAACTGAGTTCAAAAGATGCCCTGACTCTAAATGTGGTGGAGCGAAGTTTGCATAATAGTAACATGCCATGTGTTTAAGTTTGGGCATCTGCACATAGTATCTAGTACAAATTGAGGCCTTTCGCAAGAGAACTTTTCTTCCCAAGGAGGCAAAAGAGAAATAAAGGATACACATTTTGATGGCCTTTGCTGCACGACGACGAGGCTTTTGTAGTATAATATACAGGATTATAGATGCCTATATGCTTGCAAATTATTTATTTTTAAAGTCGTTTCAAGGCATATAGTAGCGCTGTGGCTAAGTTACTAGAAGCTTTCGAGCTTGTGACAAATAAGTGGCAAACTTTGAGTTAAAGGATTTTCTTTTAAATGTTTTATATTCTATTTATAATATTTTCTATCTGCAAACGATTGCATACACTCACGTGAACAGATACAAAATTTTCCAAGTTTCACATCTGGTATTTCCGTTAAATCAGACGGCTGGCTCTCGGCATGAACCAAGTGTGGCTATGTCTAGATTCGACAGCTAGACAGACCACCAGGTGTTCCTAAGATTAGCACCCAAATTACGGGGCCAAGTGAACATGCATAGAGAACTGAACCCTTTCTATAGCAGTGTACGGACTGGATTTTGACATTTAAAGATTATTTTTTAATAGAGTTTCAAAAGGAATCTAGGTAATAAACGCGCCTGTGTTAAGTAGCCAGCTGCATTCTTCGTCGAAGTTTCAGGTCAGCTCTCTGCAATGTGCCGTTTCAAGTTTACGGCCGATATATATATGCTACTTCCTATTATATTGGTATCAATCTATGTAAAGTCCAGTATAAAATGGCGCACTCCTAATTAAGACAAGCTTTTAACAATTTCCCTTGTGGTGCTAAAACATTACTACTCTCGTTTAACTCTGGTTATTAAGCGCCCACTGCAACTGCACCTTTACAAATAATTTCTTAGGATTTGAATCAGATTTCTTGGAATTATTACCTATATAATAATATTTTTGGCCGAAACGCCCAAAATTGCATTTCGTATTGACCGAATTTTGCAGCCAGGCAACCCATTTAGTTTATACGTCTGCATAACAATCGCATCAGCGTCTACAACACTGCGCTCGGGTAGGGCAAAATGAACACCCAGTTTTTGCACCTACCCATCCTTTTCCACAGACACACACACACACACAAGGGTACTAAACGTAATTTGCATCTAAAAGGAAAAACCTTCATCGCCTCCAGTCAGTATTCGAAATAGTGACGTTTGTATATCAGTTTTTGACAAACTCGATAATGTGTCAAACTTAATCTGAATCCAAGTGTTATCATGTACAAAAATAGTCGAGCAAACCATACTGGTATAAGCGGGAAGCAATTACTTTTCGCTTGGCATTTTTTGTCGGTATAGCTTTATTATGCGTTTCGCCTTTTTTTGTAAGCGGTCACGGTTAGCTTTCACATGATCATATCCAAAGAAGCAAAAAAAACTGACGTGGTATTGCCTCCTGGCCACATTTACTAAGAATTTCCGTTTAGATGCTATCATAACATTACAGTTGTTATGAATGAAAGAAGTTATATAGTGATACAAAGCGTCTAAATACGGCAAAAGTGATGAAAGTCTGCGCCCATGGATCGAGTAGCTGAAAATTATCACCAACTCGATTAATTTCAGGTTAAAAGTCCCTCCGTCCTTTAAAAACATGCTGTCATTATCACAAGCTTTCGGGTGGCAGACTTTAGAAACCCCACAACGCCATAATAAAGATATGCTCATGACGCTGTCTTATCTGATAGTGCCAAGACAGAGTCAATAAACTGTTCATACGCTTATTTCTACGAACGCAACATGATTCTATTTCCAGTTACCGTTGACCCCGTTTATCTTGCAAACAGTGAATGGTTAGTGATTATGAAGTTGGAACCAGACGCTTGGTCCGAATTAACCCGAGTGGCTTTCCTTAGACATCGCCTGTGGCGTCATTTTGACTAAGTGATGTTGCACGACCTTTTCTTTCCTTTACCTCTTGTGCCACAAAAAGCGGTGTTCAGGCACCCAACTGTTTAAATAAACGAAACCTATTATAGTCCGTCGGTAGCACCATGGCTACAGCTTTCGTTATACACTTATAGTCAGGTGACCTTGGCTGAGTTCAAAGCCATACAGGCATCAAGGGCGCGTGGGAAATGGCGGCGACGGCAGTCGCGGCAGCGTTAGGAGTGCATTGTTCTTCATTTATTTTCGCTAAATTTCTCTCGAACGCATAATGGTAACTCGTTCTGATATCCTACCTGACTCCTGCCCCATTTACCCTCATTGCGTTCACTACCGTTTGAAATACACGCATGCGGCTATGCGTGAGTTGAGTGAGGACGAACAGCCGAATATTATATCCGTAAATGCCAGTACCTAGCTTATTCGGCAGTCTGGTCTTACGGCCCACGCAAGCGACCGATCAACGAACATAGCGGATATGCAAAGGGCTTGCAGGCCAATGCTTGGACCTACAACCTCTTATAGCCCCCTGACCTACCTACCTGCCTCCCTCTCTCTCTCTCTTTCTCTCGTTCTTTCCATTTCTTACGTGTCGCTACTACATTGCTACTCCCGCGCTGCTTTTAGCATTAATTCCCTTTGCCTTCCCAGCTTAACCCCCTTTTTCCCTTCAGTTCTGTTGTATCCGCCGACCCGACATGCAGGAGTCAGGATGCTGCATTTTTGCTGCTGATACTCTGTTGGTTCTTTTTGGCCGTCCGTCCGTCCTGCTTAGCTACTATCGTTGAGCCTTTGGTTGGCGGCACCCACACTCCTATGCCTTTTTTTGTATTCTCGTGGATGCGACCTGAGGCGCCGCTCTTCCCCCGTTTTCCTCGCGCCCCCTTCGTATATATTTCCCTCGCCTACTCCTACAGACGGAGCGCCCTCTACAAACACTCTTACCCAGGAGAACAGACAGGACGTAGCGGGGGTGTCTCAAATCTTCAAGCAGCAGCAACTAAACTGCTGTAAGGTACACCCATATACATTACCCAATCTACTGACTCGTTAGCTTGGCTAGGTACAACAGAACACCACATCTTTTTCTGTATGTTGAGGGAAAGCTCTTCAGAGCGTCATCAATCAGTGTTTCAGATATAGCCGGGCGCAAATACGCCCGCGTCATTCAATCTGTTAATAGATTATGAAACGACTAAAAAAAGGTGAGACCGTCTGTGACAAACTCCTCCGATTAGTGTGCTAGAGGAATAGACATAATTTACTTGATAAAACTGTTTGGTTATGAAGAGGGGCATCATATGATTAACCACACAACATTTTTTTTTCTGTTCAAATCCGCAAGCGTCAAATCCTAAAAGGAAACGGTTCATGGAAACAGCGTTGTGTTGTGTCATTTGATATGTGAATGTATCGATAATTGGGTGCCATTAATTGCACTTTTAGTCGTGGACAATTGTGTTTGTTCTTCTACTGATTCGACGAATACGATAACAACAACCACTACGCCACCATCAGGACGACGACGACGACGACAGTCACCTCCACGACGCCTAAAATCAAGGCGACAGGTAGGTGTGATTGTGAAATATATGTGTACTAAAGTTAATCCACGCGACGTCAGTAGGAAGCCTTTCTAAAGTTTACGTAACAAAAGCAGTGTGGAAAAACACAATCTCCTTTCGACACCTGTGGTCAGATCGGACGATGGAGAGATCGCACCATCTGAGCGGTGCGACGACATTGAGTTAGCAGGCAGCGCCCGTTAACGCCGACTCGCGTCAGCTATCAGGGACTGTTGAAGTACCATCTGGCTTATGCGTTGCACTGTTGTTTTAGTGTCCAACCTTCTAGTGTAGAAGCGGTTTAGCAGCGTTTGACGTTACTGGAGTAATATAGATAATAAATTAGGCAATACAATGGGGTCCGGGGGCACTGTTTCCGAGAGAAGGACCAACGGACGGTAAAATTGCTGACTCAGAAAAGCCAGATGGCCAAAAGGATGATCGTGCAATATAACGTGTTTGCTTGCACAGCAGGACGTTGGTAAACTCATCAAGTTTGGGCGAAGTGACCGCAAAAAAGAATGCCAGAGTTATCCAAATAATTGCTTTTGTCCTATTTGAGAAAAAATGGCGTCAAACGTTATCTTCGTAAACTGTTACTTGTTGCCAGGTTGCAGCACTTTGTACCAAGTTTTGCCAAACCCATTACACTATAATACGTCATCTTTCCACTGTTTGTTTGTCTGCCTGTCCTTCTGACATTAGGCGTCAGTGACACAGTTATCATTATTACAACGAAATGAAATTCAATTTATATGCTTTGGGCATGAAGTTCTGTATATCATAAGTTACTCACAAAAAGATCACTTCCGTGGTAAATGGCAAGCCAGTATTTACAGGACAATTATTCGTTCGTCGTAGCAGCTTATATTTGAACATAGTCGCCTGCGTAAAGTAAGTTCAATAAATATTGTGTCTCACGGAAATAGAAACACCTTACTATGTCAATGTTTTCAATTCCCAACTGCGACTAGATGCTGCCGTTACTTCGTCACAGTTACTTCGACTAATAATCTTTAACATGTCATGAAGTGTGGCTTGCTGATGCAATAATGTAATATACACAGCAGTAAAACAGATCGCAGGAATCCTCCTTTAATTTAAAAATAATGTATTTCATCTGTCTGGCTAGACTACATTTTGTCCCCGTGATAGCTTGGTAGGTAACGTATTTGCCTATTGATCGTAAGGACACGTTGGGGCTTAGGTTTGAACTTGGGCACAGCCAGATAGACTTCGTTTCGTAATGGCTGGGAGCCAGTTAGCTGTCTCGGTAATGTAATGCCGAACGGCAATACCGGGTGTAAAACTCGAAACATAGAGAATAGACTACATTTAGGACTTTATTTTCTTTGGATTATGGGTTCGGCCTAGTTCGCTAGAAGCATGTAGTGAAATGCATGCGTCTAATATTGTTAATTACATAAAATATGTTCGACTTACGACGCATATACGCTTCTGGGGATGTAGATACCTTTCGAGCAATCTTTATTTAGCTTTGAAAACACATTTCCGAAAGACAGCGGGCAATTTACAAGTATGGTTCAGGCATTGTTATTTAAAGTAAGGCTTCGATCGCTATTTTATATTCTGCAACAGTCATTTAAAAGAAGTAACGAGTTCCCCACAATGATCTAAATCCCTTCTACAGCTATGAATCTGAGGGGATCTGGCAAAGAGATTGCAAAGATAGATTGTGATCAGCTGTTCAGTACAGAGTGTATCTTCGACAAGCAAGAGGGGCTTTGGTTCTTTTCTGCTTAAAAGGAACATCGAAATTCTGCCTTATATTTAAAACTTTTTGAGTGTCAGAGGTTTAAACAAACTTCGTATGATTCAAGGTAATCGTGACAATCAGGAGCACTATCTACAGGTAAGATACATTTTTAGAAACTGTGGACATAGATCATAGTGGTTTTGTATAATGTGCCTACCTAATTTAACCTCATAACGTCGTAAATAAATAAGCCATCAACAAATTTAGCCAAATTAGCTACGCTATTGCCTATAACCTAACCCTATTGCATAGATGTTTGTCGCTTCATTTTCGGTATCCTACGCTACTGTTTGTAATAAAAGTCAGTATAAAGATTTTTTTTCCAGTTTACTTACTGTGATAGGCAACTGTATTGGAGAAATTATGTAGAAGCTACTAAAAGAGCTATAACCAGTTTAAGCTAGTTTAAGATAAGCGTACCTTATCTAAGGTAGCAACAAGAAATGAAATCATAGCGTAGAAAGAATAGGACACTGTTGTCGTATTTGAATGCCATTCATTTATACATTTTTTTCTCGCAGTATATCTATCGTAGGGCTAATAATAAAGCATGTTAATTCAATTATCGTATACGTTGTGATCTCATTATACTCGAAGTCATCAGCCTATGTCATATGCTCTTGCACTTGAAAATGTGTTAGTAAAATTATTAAACATTAAATTTTTTATTATAGCGAGAGTTTGACCAGATTCTGCTAGTAATATTATATTGACAAGGGAAGAATAAGGAGCTCTATTATAACTTCACTATTTGCTTCTGCCATTTGTGAAATAAGACGAACAGAGAGATGCATAATAGATTGAACAGATCCCAAGTAAAGAAACGTATTTGGTGAAATGCTTTGATGGGAAAAGAAGGTACCGAATAGGGTGCTCATCTTCCTTTTAAAGTTTTAATGTGATACATATTCTTGACATTCGCGAGAAGCGGCAAATTCAAATTTATAGTGTGACACTTGAGCTATGTCTTTGCAGAGGCCACTTATTCATACAATATATATGTGATCATCGTACCGTTGGCTAGCCGGGATCTCCAGTTGCTAAACACTCAAATATAAGAGGTCAAGCCTAAAAAACATTTACTTTCTGTACATATTATGAAATTATTTTTTTATTTATTCATATTGCAAATCGCAAGAGATAGTATATAGATAAAAAGGAAAGGTTTTGTTCATTTAATTGTAGAGTAATCCAAACCGCCTCAACTGGTGTCTTTCGGATTCTGAATACGACGGTGCTATAGTGGGCGGCATGGTTGAGAAACACGAGAAAATGTATCAGAAGCAGCAGCCCTCAAGAGAAGATTAAAGAGAATAACCTGGAATGCTGCAAGCGCATCTTACGATTCTGGACTATGATCTGGAGCTAAAAGGTTAACTAATGCAGAAAAACAAAACAAATCGTACAGGACTAATTTTTCTGCGGAACGACCAATTACTTGCCAGGTATCCTTATGATTCTGACAGTACCTTCACACAATGGTAAAAACACTAAATAGTTCGCGCATCGCATGCGTGTGATTTACGCATTGAACCCCTGCACACTCTTCGAAAAATAAGGAGCAGAACCAAAAAAAAAATTAGGACGCTTATTTAGAACTTTAAAGCGGTGGTACACTGGGTGCTTCAAAATGAAGCATCCAGCCAGGGCAGTGGTGGCTGCGTCGTGTGAAAGTAATTAAGCAGGTCCAAAAGAAGAACCAAAAAAAAGAGCAAAGATAGGACAGACCGACAGAAAGATATGACAGGCTCTGCTTGTCTCAAACTTGCGATGAATGAAAATTTCTAAATTTCGTTGTGGAATTAGAATAAAATTAAAACAAGTACCAGCCCCAGGTCAAACAGCAAGATGTACATTTAGCTGTACTGTAGGAAAAGTGTATAGAAGCTCCAGACTAGCGAGGCGTAGGTCTAGAAATAAGGCTTGGTGTCCATAAAAAGATTTACGGAATAGCCTGTTCAAAAAATATAATACTTTATTGAATCACGAATGTAATTTACATCAAAATTACTCATTTGTATACCACCTCATCGCACGCTTTACAAGTTAGCATGCATATATAGTGACACCTTTGTGTCGCTACGTACGCACACAGGTATATTTAATAACCAGCCGAGATAGACTTGAAAGAACTGGCAGTTAAGAATAATAAATAAGAGCCGGCGTCAGTCTTCTATTTTCGAGTAAAGTATTTTTGTCTTTCGTGGCACCTGTGATAATTGGCCTGGATAAGAGGTGGCGAGCACGATTGATATTTTCAGTCAAATAGAGACTTCTTAATAATTTGAACCTACTTATATAGAGGAGATACAATCTTTTGTGAAATATGCCACTTTACAACGTGCGACTTCTATTCAGCCCCACAGTGCACGTTTGAGCCTTATAATTTTGACAAAGTTCCTATCGTCGCTACTGTAACAAAACTGCAAAAACACACAGTTCGTTTGCCCGTAGTAAGTACTGCCCCTCTCACAGATGGATGAGGTTCGATCTCATACTTTTTACGATCAATAATGGGTTTACTGAAGGGAGACACCACATTCAAATTCTGGAGTCAAATAGCTAAGATACACTTATGTTACGAGTCAGTTGATCCAATGATGCCTCACTCGTCTTGCAACCTTCAGAACAATTATAAATAATATCTGCAAGAAGTTTGTAGAATGCACGAAGCCTTATGAACGTCGACGTACCGGGATACTTTTTTTTCTTTGTTAGTCTGATTGTAGTCATCGGATATCGGCAGATAGCAAAGGTAAGAGTGACCTGTGATCCTAAAAGGTTCACTTGAACGAGGCCTGAAAATAACGAAAAGGGTGATTCTCTAGTTCATTCAAAACATTTGGAATAAAAGGGGGTTTAAGACGCGCTCTTCTTTTTTTTTTTACCTTAGAATATACGTATAGCACAGAAGATGCGGTGGCTCAGTCTTTGCAAGTACAGTCAAATTGGAATTAGTAAAGTTTACAAAATAGATAGTCCCGATTTTGAACTGATAGTATAAGTCAGCAAAACCCTTTCAGGTGACTAAGGTTGGTATAAACGTACTACAAGTACTTATTTAAACATCGTGGTGCTTGCACAATGGCTAGGACGCTTATTTGATCACGCGCTCTCGTTGAAAAGTCGACTCTTACTGTCGGGTTTAAGTCTCGCAGCGCTGATTGCCTGTCTATACACATCGCTTATAAGAAATACAAAACGTTTACTTACAACAATTCTTAAAGCGTTCGCTTAGTGGCATTAGTGGAATCTGAGGAAACGGGTGCCCGGTTTACACGGAAAAATTTGAGAATCCGCGTCCGCTTCAAAAAAGCTGGTGCATAGTTGACGAAACTATCTTCTATTCGCTGTGGCTGCAATTTGTTCCGCTCGAAATGAGCTCCCAGTCCCTAACAGTTAGTTAAAGGGATTAAAGTCTTGCCTTGCCGAAAAAGAATTAATTGTTCATAAGAGCAAAAAAAAAAACGAGAACTTTACATGCATCGTCAGCAAACTACGTTCTTGACCTGTAAGTCTTTGGCCTCTAACTAATGAATGCTTGCTTATCGGGTATTTTGTTTATATGTTGTATCGCGAGTACTTAACTTTTAACTACTGCGGCGAAATAAGCGAAACGCATTTTTGTTTTTCTTTTTGAAGCCATCAAACTTTCGCCAGATTATAGTGGTTATATTGAAGGTAATGCTGAATTAACGCGACCGGCAGGAATTACACTTAGCACGTTTCACAGCATTCGGACGCACTGGTACCACCACAAATTCGATTCGCTTCGTGTTTTAAACGTAACGGCGACGGAAAAATCTAGGGCGCGCCGTAACATCTGGCCGCGCTACTTACACTATACATCCGAACGTAGGGGTCGCCGCTAAGTCTACATTGAAAACGCGGAACCTAGCCAAGGTTTGCCGTAGCGAGGTTGTCTGGTCATCCGCAGCATTTTAATACAACCGATAAAATACTGCGGCGCTTGTTATTTTGTTAGAACCAAATCTCTATCTTCTAATGAGCATATTCCTGTTAAGCCTTGTGCCTACGAACCTCCGTATTTTCTGCAATCTAAAGTCTCCTGCCGGTTTCTTTGAATAGGCCAGACATTAGGGTTCACGCCTCCCTCTGGACCTTGTACTTCGGCAATTTCCAACTCGAGTTACTATCTTCCTGACCTGACGATATACGCGGGCCAATATAGGAACGCTTTAGTACTCTCTTCAGTTCACCAAATGCCTGCGTGTCCGCCCGCCTTTCAAAGTGACAAAACAAAATTGCGGCTTCAGTATGGGCTCGCACAGTCTGCTAGAGCACCACGTTCCCTCTAATGCGGCGCAGCAGTCCGTTGACAAGTACGTACCGAAGAACATCTGCCCCTGCGTCAAGTTTAGCGTCTGAACGATGTTGTTTAGACGAGAATCTGCCAGTTGCATCGTCCTGACACCTTCTACGTCCAAGCCTGCTTGCTCCAATATTGGTACCATTAAGGACTTTGCATTCAACAAATACAGAAGGTCGATCTACTACGCACGTTAGTCTGGCTACAAAGGCTAGTCACGTGTAAGCTTGCGCAAGCTGTGAAATCTGGCAAGTTACTGTAGTCAGGAAGTCCACGAAGCCATCATACAAGTACGATCCCTTCACGTCGTTTAGACTCTAGCAAAAATTGCTTCTATTGGGTAAACGCGTGCACGTTTTCGTCACCTCCTCGTACCCGTGCGGAATATCCTTTCGCGTGAGGCCGTGTTTCTCTTGGAAACCGCTCGAATAGACGATCCTTAAGCTCATCCCGTGTAGTCTCGTTGTCGATAGCGAATTCGAGTTTTACATCCGGTACAACCGTTAAGCACTTCATCAGACGTCTGGCACCTGGGCTGGATCTGGCGAATGTCTGTAAGTAATCTCTAATAAACGTTTATGCCACCAGCCGTAAACATCTCCTGCTGTCTTCAACGCCTTGATCCATTGCCCAGGCTTCGAGAAGTCAACAAACGGTCGCTTTGGGGGCAACGTGACCCTTTCCACTTTTGTCAAACGCTCCATCACATGCCGCTGCCACACAGCTTAGTTGGCCATTTCGTACGTCTTGACTAGGCTTTGGGCGA